GATACCTTCCAACCAAGCATATGTTGTGGCAAGAGCAACCGAGGCAGATTACGAATACCTACCATGTATCTGAGCGAGTAGGTACGTAGTACACACCCACCCAGACACCTACCTAGGTAGGTAGGTACTACAGGTATGTAGGTCGGTTCTACACAGCCCAGAAAGATACGTACTTTGCTATTCCTTTTGTTTCCTTCCTTTCGATGCGCTTGCAGGCCGCACTGTGCATCTGCGTGTGCATCTGCAGTAGCTGCACGCAGGACACAGACAACACGGGGCAGGTTGCATTGGATGGCATCATTCGTACGGATACAGCCCAACTGTATGCAAACTTGGGTAAGTAGTTTACCTCCTCCGTATCTGATCATCATCACCAACCACCTTCATTATAACGGAGCCAGCTTCCCATGGTCGCCCACCATGGAGCACGAAGTCGGACGGCCCTTCAAAAGTCCAGTGGACGGCAGGGAACCACCGTTCGAGACACCCTTGCCTACCATAACCATAATGAGCCGAAGTCTCGCGTCATTTACTGTAAATCCATGGTAATTCAACGAGGGGCAATCCCCCATCCGAACACGTCCGAGACGCTCCCTCGACGCTTAGTCGACGCCATCCAAATCCGCTCTGCAGCGCTTCGGGGCAACGAGCGCCAGTCCAATCACATTACCGGAGTTGTTGTACCTTGCCGCGGGGCGTTCGGACTTTTACGTACACATACAACAGCAAGATACAGGTTGGTGCGCGAGTCGCTGCCAAGTGCCACATTGAGAGACGGGTGTTGTAATTGTGCCCGAAGCCACGAAATAGCCTCTTGTTCCTTCTTCAGCCAAAGTAACCTACCTAGACTCCAGCAACCTTCAGCTCCGAATCCATCCAGCTCCAGCTCCAGCTCCAGCTGCGACGGCTCCGACAGCTTGGTACCTTTGTTGCTGACTGCCTCGCTGGTGCCTGTATATCGTCTCCTGTGTCGCATATGCCTTTCCTTTATTTTGCACCATTTCTTTTTCCTTCCGGCAAGCCTCTTCACCTTTCTCCTCAATCCCTAGACCAGCATCTTGTTTTCTCCTGCATTGCCCTTGACAATCCGACCTTCTCTCTTTTGTCGGTCGACCTTCCTCATCCCTGCCTGCACTGCATCCCTTCGGCCGTATTCCCCGGCCGCTCCGGACCCTTTCTCCCACTCGAAGCAAATTGGCTTTGAGGAAGAAGAGCCCTGTGCTGAGTGAAAGCTCTCTCCTCCTCACGTCCGAGTTGCTGCAAGAAAGTCGACGGTGCCGGCCTAACAAGATCCAGCACTGAACTACATTACATCGCATTACTCACCCCACTGCCATCTCTAAATTTCCAATATCCGTTTTTGCCTGCTCAGCTTGTCTTTTCCACCTCGCCCGTTTCCCCACCTATCCTTCTCCCGATTTGGACTGGCCGTCAACCGTTGTCCATCCAGACGAAATCACCGTCCGGGGTCAACTCGCAACGGTCTCCGAGATACCTTACCGCGAGCAGCCATACCGTACTGTACGTATGTATCCTTCTTCCCTTTCTCCTTTCGGGGTCTTGTTCTGCGTCATAACTATGGTACCTGTCTATTCCTGTCCCCTTCGTGTCACTCCGACTTTGCCGCCCTGTCAACGGCCAGGTCGGGGCTTGTTTGTCAGTCGGCCCCTCCCTCCTTCGAAGACAAGCCCCTCGCCCCTGGGCGCAAGTGTCCCCCTCTGGTTGTTCCTAGGCGCTAGTGTGCAGAAGCAGAAGTAAGCGCACCCCCTAGCAAGGCACCAGTCAAGCATGCCATCCAATCTGGGCGAGCCAACCCGAGCAGGGCCTTGGCCTGTTGCGGCGCTGTGCCAAAGAGCTAGGCCGCCCTGTATGCATCATGTCTGGGCAGTGTGGGTGTACGAGAGTGGGTAGGGTGGGTGAGGCAGGTGGGCTGGTTCTTGGGGTCGTCTCTGGCGTGCTGCCCTGGTGTGCCTGGGTGCTGCTGCTGCTGCCGCCGCCGCCGCCGCCGCCGCCTTCGGGGCTCTCTGGCTCTTCTGCCCGCTCAGCTTACTCCCTGTTCCCTGCTCCTTGCTCCTTGCTCCTGCCTGCTCCGGTGCTGTCTGTCTCTCCTCGTCTCCCAGGCTCTCCCCGTATTTGACTTACATAACAAGTCAAGCATGCCACGCACCACGCATTGTGCTGCCAAGGGCCCATTTCCAAAACCTCAACTCCATGTCTACAAGTATTCAGCTTGATCAATAACTCATACACGCCGGTGCTTTACTGTTTGTCCTGGAACTTCTCACACTGACCCGGCTTCTTTCACTTCTTCCAGTTTCTAGTTCATCCATCCACGCACGCACTGCATCAGCCAGTTTCTTGCACAATTCTGTCACCCGTTTCGTTTGGCACTCTGGACAAGGCCCCATCCGCCAAACCATCATCCTCTTCTCTCCTGTCCTGCAGCACCCGCTGTCGACAGGCGTACCTCAAAGAATCATCTGGCGCGAGGTATCCGATCCTTCGCATGCTGACAGCAAGCTTTGCGCCTCACAGGAGACTGTTCCTCCAGCCTTGGGCAATAACCAAACTACGTCCCCTGTCAAACCAGCCTCCAATCAAAAGTGCCTGGTAGAACGAAGCGTTCAACCCATCAACCCTTCATTTCTTTACGGCTTCAATGGCGGCTGCGACGGCTTCGACGCCGCCCGTAATATCCCCAACTGCAGGTCCAAACCAACTTCGAAAGCACGTATCCCCCGAGCAGCTGACCATGGGCGATGATGCGGGCCGCAAATCGCTGTCAGCAAGAATTCGGGACGCTCCTGCCTCCCCAGTCAGAGTAAACTTTCAGGCCGACAACTGGGCTCAGCCATCGAATGCGAATATTGAATTGGCGCAACCCTACCAGGCAGACTTTTCTACGGTCGATCGCTCCCAAGAACGAAATGCCCCGACCCATTCCCAGCAGACGGCAACCTACAACCAGTCCGCTGGACGAGAAATGCTCCCCCCTCTCAAGACTTCGTCCTCCTACACTGCCGAACCCAACCTTTTGAGTCCTGCGTATTCGCTTTCGCCCACTAAAAGCGGCCGCGAGCAAGCCCCCCGGCCGAAACAGGCAATACAAGGGTCGGATAGCTTCAGCGCCCACAGCCCATCACGAGTGCAAGATGGTAACCGCCATAGTCGAGAGTCGGGTACCAGCGATTCCAGCAACGCCCAACAACAAGCATCGGCAGAATCGTCTGCGACGACGAGCGCAAGCTCCGTTTCCGGTGGCCTTAATGAGTCGGCCGAGTACAAGGGAGATGAGTCTCCCGAGAGCTCCGTCGTCGACGGCAACATGCCAGAGAACCACTCCGTTCCCATGTTCCAGTATTACCACCACCAAGAGTATCCTGCACCCGTATCAAGTGTTCCTCAAGAGCTTGATGCCCGTCGGTCATCCTCGAACCCTAGCCTGAATGCTGACGGAACTTCCGTCAACCGTCACCTAACACCTACTGGGTTCACCAGGAGAAGCTCGATGCCACGGCCGTCGTCGGCCTACTCGGCAATCTCGGATTATACGTCGAGAGGGCGCTCACCGGGTCTGATGTCTGGGGGATCCCACATGCGCAGCCCGTCCGGTACTCGCAGGTCTCCAGAAACTAGGCCGGCTTCATATGCAGAGCTGTTGAATGTGCCATACCCGCAACCCGCCCCAGCTCCCATTAGCTTCGACAACAACCAGCTAAGGAATGCTGTTGGCAACAATGCATCGCTCCTTAGTGCGCAGAAGACTCTTGAGATGTATCGCCAGAACGTCAAGAAGACCAACGACTTCTCCATCCAGTACTCCTTTGCCGTCTTCCTCATCTCCACTGCACAGGATCAAGGCCTCGATCCTAGCGAACCAGCACCGCGCAAGGGAAGCCCGAACCCCAAGGACGCCTCGACGTCGACTCCCCCCGACCTCCTCCGGGAAGCGAAGGGCATTCTTCAGAAGCTTGCCAGTGGCGGGTACCCCTTTGCCCAATACTACCTCGCCGATGGATATGCCTCTGGTCTGTTTAGTAAGGGAAAGGAGGACTACAACCAGGCATTCCCCCTCTTTGTCCTCGCCGCAAAGCATGGCCATGCTGAGTCCGCATACCGTACTGCACTATGCTACGAGTTTGGGTGGGGATGCCGCAAGGACCCTGCGAAGGCAGTCCAATTTTTGCGCATGTCCGCATCGAAGCGTCACCCTGGCGCCATGTCCCGGCTTGGCAAGGCTTGTCTGTCTGGCGACTTAGGCGAGAAGCGATACCGCGAAGGTATCAAGTGGATGAAATTGGCCGCCGAAGCGGCCGACTCCGTCTACAGCGCAGCCCCTTACCAGTTGGGGTGCTTGTATGAGACTGGGTACGGCGATGACATTTTCAAGGACGAGGTCTATGCAGCGGAGTTATTCACCGCCGCGGCAGAGCTGGGCCATCCCGAAGCCAACTTCCGCATGGGAGAGGCATACGAACACGGCAAGCTTAGCTGTCCTCGGGATCCCGCGCTGAGTGTGCATTTTTACACAGGTGCCGCCGAGCGTGGGCACGCTGGAGCCATGATGGGACTCTGTGCATGGTACATGGTTGGTGCTGAGCCGATACTGGAGAAGGATGAGGAGGAGGCCTACGAATGGGCGCGCCGTTCGGCGGAGATGGGTATGTTGACGCTCGCCCTACACAGGATGCGTAGGAGGAAGATTCTAACGTTTGGCTTCTAGGATACGTCAAGGCGCAATACGCCGTAGGCTACTTCACGGAAATGGGCATCGGCTGCCGGCGCGACATCCTCGAGGCCAACGTTTGGTACGTCAAGGCAGCCGATGCAGGCGACGAGCGTGCGAAACAGCGGCTGGCTATCATCCAGGCGGCTGTTAGCGGTGGCACTCCTATGGAAGTCGCACCGCCTCGCAGCGGGAAGATTAAGAAAAGCGGCGATGACAAGGACTGCATAGTGATGTGAGGGGACACATTGAGGAGCATCGACAGGGGTGCATTTCACCACACCGGCGTTAGGTATGAGGGCAGGAAACCCCAAGCTTCACTAATGATTGAGAGAGGCGCCTCCGTTCCCGGAGATATCCCGAGGCATAGCTTTTTGTCGATGACGTTGCTTCGACTGTTGGATAGTTGACGAGAATTGCGCCTTTTGGCATATTTCCGCCTTTTTCTTTTCTTTTCTTCTTCACACCACACAGCATCTACGAAAAGGGGACGAGATTTCTCAGGCGGGCTTGATGGAGGAGGAGCCAATGCGGAGAGGAAACCTAATGACGGATTAGGCTTGTTTGTTTTGGACCAAAAACTCTCCATTTCTCACACCCCACCGCATTTTCGGTCCTTTTGTTCGTGTTTCCTGTTTTTTTCTTTTATTCAACCTTTGTTCCCTTTCCAAGGAGGGGGGTTTTCATGAAATTGCATTTGCGTGGCATGGGGATTCGGGCAATACACGCAGATGATGCATGACCCAAGCATGATCAGGACTGTTGATGAGCTGTGTGCCCCGGTTTTCGTTGCGAAAAGGGCGTTTGGAGAAGGGGCCACATTGTGATACAGACAAACAGACAGCTCGGGCGGGCATGTACATGCCTGACGAGGCATTCAAATGAGCCTGTACATACGAGATACCATAACTCCCTGTCTCAGACAGGTGTCTTGGACGCCACTTGGTTTCGTCTTGATTTCATGGCGGCGGTGATAATGTTGATGGTGATAAACCACTCACTTCCGGTTCCAGTCAAGCCCTTTGGTTCAATGCGCATGTTGTGTGGGACTTCGGGCCGTTGGGTGTCTCGTTCGCCGCGGTTTGAGACGAGTTTGTCCAAGGAAAAAGAAAATTACGGCGCGGGCGTTGTCATGTTCGTCTGTAGTTGAATCGGTTGACGCCATACACACACCTGCGGAAGCGTGACTCGAGAAGCCGGGTCAGGTTTCGGAGGGGTTTCCCCCCCTCTGCGTAGCGCGTAGAAATCCCCATGTTGTCTTCTTGCTGCGTAGTTGACGTGTCATGGCGTCTTTGGTTGTCTTTCTTCCGTCAAGACATGACGTGTGAAGACCGAGAAACAACCGACGGAAGGGGTTTTGAAAAGGAAAAGAGACGACGAGTCATGGAGAGAGAAGGGGGGCATCAGACGGTGCGGCTCCGGGTAACGTGGGGCGTTCCAAAGCCGACGCATGAGAAACAGTTGCGGGAAAGCTGGCGGGAGGAAATGTTTTGTTGGTTTGAGGGGGGTGTTTGGGGTGCCGGGTCGATCCAGGCGCCAAGCAGTTGTTGTTATTGTTTTCCATGTTTGCCGCGAGAGGGTGTCCAGAGGACGCGTGTGGTCTGGGATGAGGTGGCAAGCAGGAGAGTTTTGAGACGTGAACTTGTGGTCTTTGCTCGGCTGGTTTTTTATCTTCCTTTTTTTTTTCTTTTCCTTTTTTGTTATTGCTGTTGTTATGATGTTTTTATGTGTTTCAAGTTGCGAGGAGGCAACGAAAGGAAGGAATAAGCCTGGACTGGAGCGGGACGGCGTGGGGAGGCGGTTTCGGGGCGGGATGAATCCTCACAGGGACGACTGTGTGCGGCGGGTGAGGGATATGCTTTGTTGATGTGACCTTGCTTCTTGTTTTTCGTTTTTATTTTATCGAACACTATTGCTTTTCGAGTCTTTGGATATGGGTCGTAGGGTCGAGTACCTATGATCGGCAGTTGGGAACGGTTAACGGCGGTAGAGAAGGCGGTTGCGGTTGCGGCTGAGACTGACCCGTCTGGGGGTGTGGTGATGGCTCATGTGGATTTCCGTTCTTGATGCTGTAGCACATTCCCGATGTTGATTCTCCCGATGGCGTTCGCGGTCTTGGATTGGCCAGGGCTTGGGACGGTCGACCAAGTTACTCTGGCTAGTTAAGAATGTTGAGTTATATTGAGCTGCCCGCCGTTGTTGCATTTGGGGTTAAGGAAGACAGGCAGTCGAAATGTGCTTTGACGCTACTTTAAGCATCAACCGGGTGTCTCTTGTGACTGCACCAACGTAATAGTTTACCAAAGACATTCGAACCCCCATCCCCCCCGGGGCCAAGCTCTCGGTGTTCTGTTTCGAGGTAATTTGACTGGGAATATGAGTAGAAGGAGGCGGGCGACTGGCTGGCTGTCGAAGCTGCCCGAGCCTCTCGTCGCCCAGGTTACACCATCGTCTCCGCCAGTCCCAGGAATGGCTGGCCGGTTTTCTCCTACCAACTCTCCCTCTGCATTCCATCTGCTGTCTAGATGCTGCCGATAAGGCACTACGACCGTACTAGACGGAGACCCGGGAGCATAGCTGGTTTAAGCCAGCGTGCAGCTATACAGGACGAGTTCCTTTGGGGCCTTGACTGATAGACTTGATCTTACCTTCTGACATTGGGGATCATCCACGATTACCCCTGGGACGTCCTGGTCGAAAGGTCGACCAAGGTCCTCGTTGATGGAGGGAACGGTGACCGAGTTACATGCTGCTTCAGACGCACTGGGCCATCCACTCGGTGATTCAGCTCATGCGAAGAAGGGACTCACGGCGTTGGATGAAATCACCATGTGGCAGGTCCTTCCGCTTCTGGAAGCTTGGATCTGTCGCCTTCGCGGAGCCGTTCGAGATAGGTACAGCTTGGTGGGGATGCCTTTCACCTGGATCGTCACAAAGGGAGTGCTGACCAGAGCGGCGGTATGTGTATCGCGCGTAAAGTGTTGACGTAGCCTGCCTTCTCTCGAAAGAGCTGGGTAAGCAGCCTCAGTTGAGTCGAGACCGCTGTGAGAGTTAGTCTACGGTTGACATATATGCTCTTCGGGCTCTGTCTCGTCCGGCTGGCAACCAATCTCTGTAGCGGTCGCTTGAAAATCCGGTAGCAGTCCAACCATGAGAACTCTTTGCCCTGTAGGGGCGGACTGCGCCGCTTATTCCCATGCCTCCACCAGATGCAGTGTCGAGCACAGGTACTCAGGCTAGACGTTCGTACCAATAGATCGCGATGATACTGTCCCCCGTCAACGTAACATGGACCGCCGATATCTAGGCTGGGCTCTTGTGCCCCTGAAAAGCCGCCCAGCTGTGTGATACACTTGACATCCCACTATTGAACCACGGAGATGGAAAGTGACAGCCGTAACGCTGACCGAGTGCCCAAAGACAGACCGGTGAACACATGCATTTTGCGTCTCGGTTTCAAGATACATATCGAGTTGTACCGTATTTGCTGTTTGGGAAGGTAAGCGATATGTTGCTTTCATAAGCTCACCGTCACGTTGAGCATGCCTCGTCTACACTCGTTGTTTCTCTTTTATTTCCAGCCAAGATATGAAAGTGTTGATGCGCTTATCTTACTTTCCGCCCTACCAACAGCCCGCTTTGGCATCGGACGCTGGCATCCTTTGCCCCAAGAGAGGGCTTCTCCTTTCCCCCAATATCAGCACGTGAGCTACCTGACAACCCAAGACCGGGTACTCGATCACTAGAACATGCGGTCCAGCAGTACTCTCCCTTTTCAGTCGACAGGCTTGGGCTCAACACGCGCGAATACGACCTCGAAAGGGGCTGTTTGACCGAGTAATAGAAATGTGGTATATATGGATTGTTCTACATATCCCATTGGATTATTTGTACAAAGGCCTCCTTCCAATGATCATTCATCCATGCCAGAGGCATGGATGAGGTAGTCTGGGACGACACATCCTCAGGTCACACCGGTATGGCACGCCTGGGCGCACCGCGGCTGTTCTTTATCCCACCAACAAGCAATCGATGCTTGACTTTTTTCTTCCGCCGGCTACAAAATTTCCACCAAGCCGCAACTCAGCCGATGCGCTCGGCCTCCTCCATCAACTTGTCGACGCTGAACCTTTCGTCGCCGGTGCGGAACCACTCTAGCAGCTTCTGCCTCTCGGACGCCCTCTCCTTACCCTCCGCATCGCCGTAGAACCTCTGCAGGCACATGACGAGCCACTGCGCGTGCGCCGTCTTGACGCCCCGGTCCTCAAGGCACTTGCCATGCATCAGCACCACGCCCCTGTCGTCCGCCAAGTCCGTGTGGTGGGTGATGGTCGTGTGCGGCTGCGCGAACTCGCCGCGCGTCTTGAACTCGGCCAGCTGAGTGAACATAACCGTCGCCGTGCGCGAGGCCCTGTCGAACACCCACTGCAAGAAGTGGATCTCGGCGCCCTGCTCCTCGTGTGGCACCGGCAGGATGAACTGCGGGTTCTGCTTCGCCAGGGCCTCCATCACGCGGTATGCCGGGGTCGGGATCACAGCGCAGAGGCTCGTCGGGTCGGAGGCGTGGCGTAGGCGCCAGATCGCCGTGAGCTCCTTGTCGGGAAGGTCGCGCACCTTTGGGAGGTCGAGGATCTCGTCGAGGGGCTTGATGCCGTTGCCCGAGGAGCCGGGTATTGGTGGCTGCCTCTGCTGGGGGGCGCCTTCGGACGCGCTGGTCGCTGTTGTGGGGATCGCCGCGGGTGCGGGTTCGTCGTTGAGGAGGCTGTCCAGCCCGGGGACCGAAATGGCGTCCTTCTTCCTCTGCTCCTGGATCTTGTCGGCGTAGGCGGCCTTGAGCTCGTCAATGTTGGAGACTCCCTCCTGACGCGCCTTCTGCTCGAGCTTGGCGCGGTACTTCTCGACGACGGTTCGGGGCTGCTGAGTCGTGGCGAGGAAGCGCACGTCGTGGACCTGGGCCCAGCGCCGCTGGTTCGAGGCTCGGAAGGCGCGCGCCGAGGAGGTGACGATGTGCCGCAGGGCGGGGATACGGCAGGACGCCATTGTGTGCGGTAGGTTTTTCTTTTTTGATCCTCCCCTATTGATGTTCTACAAAACGATCGCGAGCGGTGGCGTTGGTGGTGGCGATTGGACGGATGGTTCAAAAGAATGGTGTTTTTTGATAATGTCATTTAGAGGCCGCAGCGTCTTCAATTATGTAGAAAGCTCCTGTGGAGCCACCGATGGCGGGGCCGGTTTTCGGCGCGGCCAAATGCCGACGGTTCCTGGACTGCGCCGGGAATGCTCTCCGCGACTTAAACTTGAACCCGCAACGCGGAGGGCTGACTCCGAGAACACCCTCCAGTGTTCGAAAGAAAGTGCCCATGTTTGCTATCGATCAGTCCTCTCAATTGCTACCAAAGCCTGCACAAAACAGCTTGTGGCAATGCAGACGGGTTTGTTTTTTATCCGTCCTTACTGAGTGGCTCGGCTCCTCATCGCAACTTACTCAACCATTAGGTATCGTAGTTATTACTGCTACGGACATCCATTATGGCTTTCCTTCTAAAAATATCAGATAAAATGACATCTCGTCGACCGCAACTTGCAACACGAGTAACCACTTCAAGCGGGAGACCGAAGAAGCTACAGTAATTCCCTTACCCGCAAACCCCCGAGAACTGGCTACTGTATTCTTAACCAGACATGAGCCAAAGAGCACTGCCGCCGGCACGGTAACATCTTATAGCATCGCAAATCTACTTCTAGTTCGTCGCAGAAACAAATGCTTGTTTTTTCGAGCCATTGTGAGTCCAGCCCCGACCAGGCCTGCTGGTCAATCAAAATACCCCGCAACCTCGACCTCCCCGTTGTTGAGAAGAGCGCTCTGCTCGCGCGCAGCATACGCAGTTTCTATAAACATATACCTCTGCCGTAGATATCGATCAAGAGCTATATGTGCAAGAGCTCAAGAAACTGCCCATTGCCAGCTAAAAGTACGCTCCGGGAAGACAATCGGCCGTGCCGCCGCACATAGCTCCTCCCTCCTACCAGCATCAGGCCAAGGGCGAGCGCATCTCAGATATCCTCTCCACCTTCTTCGCTGAACACCATCAATTACACCCGGAAGTTGGTCCACCCAACTCCCGTCGCCAGAAGCTTTCCCCGCCGGAACCGCTCGTGAGCAGATCGCTACCTGTGCCCAGGTCCATACCTAGTAATCACACGTCATCAGCGTCATAGGATCACCCCCTGGGACTAGGTACACTCCAACATGCACACACACACATCCCGGAAACCGGCAAGACTGGGATTCGCAAAAGGAAATGCGACGCAGACCCAACGGAAGGGAATTAGGTAGGAACAATGCGGGGAACCAACGCTCGCCCATGTTCACTCCGGGGGTGCAGAGACGCCAAGAGTATGCAGACGGCAGTGGCTGGTCGAGGTACTGTACCAGCCGGCCGGGATTGAGCCACACCTTTTCATCCCCTCACTTCCCCTCCATTCGTCGCAGACTGCTCATGACGCGACGAACAGGCCCCCGGCGTGCAAGACTTTCCCAGGCGCGCGGGAGATGGTGAGGGGAAAAGAGCCCTGTTATACCGGGGGTGTGCTGGTGCGGATAATTCAGCGTCGGGAATCCCTTTCTCCCCCCCATCCCATCTGATCTCTATTCCGACTGCATGTTTACTCACAATGGTATGGTTCTGCGGAATTATCGCGAGTAGTAACGACTGCGAGGTGTCTTTCAATGTTCGTGTTGGTATTGTACAGGAACTACAAGACGCAAAACAGCAAATATAGAAACAAGTCTAGCAGTGGAACACAGGTCGATGGTTCGGCACGCCCAAACCCAAACCTCGAGGGCATCCAGCAGCCCCTCGCTTCCCCGCTCTCTTTCGGTACGCCGATGGCGTGGATATCTCTCATCTATGTCTAATATCTCTCCAGGTTTTGCTTCTTCATCCTCTTCTCTCCTTCTATTTTCTCTTCAGACGCAAAAAAACAGTCCTTGATCACAGCCACTATTCAAAGTGACTGTTTAATTCTGCCAAGTGGGCTTGAAGGTCCAGCGCTCCTCAGCGCCCTGGGCAAAGGGAACGCCAAGCTCAAACAGCTTGACGATGACGTTGGAGAAGTCCTTGAAGAAGGCCTCGTTGTCCTTGGCGTACTGCTCGACGTACTTCTTGAATGTCTTGTCCTGGATCAGGGCGTAGTCGGCGGGAAGCATCATTAGGGACTTGGTGCTCTTGTCCTCGTACTGCACAATACCGTCAGCGATCAATTCACTCACGTCTGCCGGGTGGCTACAAATCTTACCTGAGCGGGACCGTCCCACTTCTTCCACTGCCACTTCTCGTTGAGGAGCAGCTTGTAGTAGTCGTTGGTCATGACGGTGGGAGAGAAAGTCCAGGGGCCGTCGAAGCCGGAGCGGTCGGTGTGGCAACGGCCGAGAGCGTGAGCGCCGGCCAGGGCAACAATCTCTTGGTCGTTGAAACCCATGCGGTAGAAGATGTCGCGGAGGTGCTTCTCGCGCTTGGAGGCGTCGGGGAGACGGCCATCGGGGGTGCAGGCGGCGGCCTCACCGTCCTTGCGGCCGGGGCGGAAGGGGATGATGGGGCCCTGCATCTCCTGGATGGCGGCAACACCGCCGAGGATCCAAAGGTCAGAGTAAGAGATCCAAGGGAATTGCTCTGCGAGAGACAGTCAGCAAGTTGTGTCCGACGGTGGCAACGAGACGGCAAGGATGCTTTTCCAGACTCGATCGCATGGGGGCTTGGGGGTTTCTACTCACGCTTGACAGGCTCAAGGAAGTCGCGGGCAGCCTTCAGGCCAGCGTTGGCACCGTGGTCGGACTCGGGGGCGAAACGCATGGTGGCACCGTTGCTGCCGCCAGTGTTGGTCTCCTTGTCGTAGGTACCGCTGGCGTGCCAGGCGAGGCGGACGAGGACGGGGCCGTAGCTGCCGTCATCGTACTGGTCGTTTTCCTCGAGGCGGTCGGCGATGACCTTGTAAACCTTCTCGTAGTCGGCCTTGGTGGGGTTAACGACCTTGGCGGTCGAGCCGGCAGAGACGCCGCCCTCCTTGGTGTAGAGGTAGACGCCACCGGCACCGGCGACGGCCAGACCGGAGAGCCAAAGCCAGGTGGAGCTGCCAGACTTGGCGGGCTCGGAGGAGTAGAAGCGGCGGCCCTGCTGGCGGAAGGCCTGGCGGGGAGCGACGGCGAAGGAGGTTCTGGTAGAGGTTCTCAGCGCCGCGCGGGCGAACTGTCTCGTGGAAGCGGCCATCTGTTTGGGAGGAAGGTGTTAGCGTGCAGGTTCTGTGGATGTGTTGCAATGATACGAGTGTATCGGGATATTTCGGTAAAAGATAACGTGGCAGGAGCTTAAAGATTGTATGTGCCCGCGTGTGTAAGCCACGGGAAGAGACCGGGCGGTACTGACCTTGCTGGAAGCTGGTATGTGTGAAGAGGTTACGGAGTGAGTATCAAGGCAGATGGACAAGACAATTGCGATGACGAAGGAGGAAGACGCAGGAAAAAAGAAAGAAGAGAGGCTTCGAAAGAGGGAGGGAGAAGGAGGGAGGAGGGTCTTGAGATTAAATCCCGAGTACTCGTTGCCCCGGGGGCGTTTGAGAAATACTAATGTACCCGGCCCGGCTCAACACTGTTACCTACCAACTTCCCTAGAGTCAGTTTTCCTCTGGCTCAGGGACCGAGGGAGGGGGACCGAGGAAGGTTCCGTACCTGTGAAATGAGAAATTGGCGGCTTCTAAGTGGTCAGAAACAGGAGCTCCAGTCCTGACAAGGGCCTGCCAGGTGCCGCTATTTCCTTTTCCTTACGGGGGAAGGGGGGGCTGCCTGCAGGGATCGTGGACGCGTGTTTGAGCAGTGATGAGGGTTCCGATGGTCTCATTCACGTTTGCTGGCTTGCCGTGGTGGGGCTCACTTCCCTCTCCCAGACTCACTCTCAACTCAACACGCCGGTCGCCTCGCCACGGAAGGTTGTGCGCGCGGTGTGTGGTGTGGCCCGGCGCGAGCTAAGGACTGGCATCAACGTTCTACGTATCTGCAAGAGATAAGGCCCAATAACGCAAGATACGTTACACAATAATTGATATGGTTCGAGCTGATGGAACTGAAGCACGCCATGTGGCTTTCCTTGCTGCGTGTAAGACTTTTTTCCTTCTTTCTTTTTCTTCTTCTTTCTCTTCCTCCCTCTCATCGTTCGTCCTATACTGGAGAGTAAAATTCTCCTTTGAACATCTCCGAGCGTTAGAACTCAGATCTCATAAGCAAACATGGTTCCCGGCAAACGTCGGTAGTTGGTTCTCTGCGTTCCTCGACTTCCATAAATGTTTTGCTTGCCCCATAGCCATGTTTCCAGAGCCCTCGGCGCGCCGGCCGGCTTCCTCGAGGAATCCTGTTCCATCTTGCAGTATTTGTAACAGATCTCCCGGGTATCCATCCAGTGTCTCCATCGTCGACTTGAGCCCACCTTCCGTGAGCTGCGTCAAGGCCCTCCGCGGATCTGACTGGGTGCCCGGCGCCTATGAATTGGAATGCCGAACGAATGCGTTTTTGTCGTCCTGTTTCCGTACCGAAATAGCACTTTCTTCTGGCAGAACTGCTCACAGCGCCACAAAGGTCAGTGCACCCTCAGCTTAAGGATGGCTCGGCTCCGGCTTCGGCACGATAGCTTACCACACACAAACACTTTTTCGGAATTTGCTCTCGAGGACTCATCCCAGGTTTTCACGTCAATTACAAGGCTCCCCCTCCTCCACTCCAATTCTTTTGTACGTGGACGCGCCACTGACTCGGCCGTTCGGGGGGACATTCAATAACGCTCAGACAGAAGTACGCCGTTGTTGCCATCCACCCTATCTGCTCCCCACTACCCGTGGACTCGGATGCTCCCCCTCTAGCTCACGCCAAATCGCCAGCAAAGCAGTGCACACTATCTATCTAGCACAATGCAGGAGCAGACTGGACGGCGGGGGTTCGGAATACATAAACGTGACTAGCTCGTCGATAGACACATCCAGCATTTTACGCTCTTCCGACCTGAAACGGCAATGTCGATCCGTTCAGCGGCGCCTCAAGCCGAGGGTGTGTACTCGGGAAATGTACCGGGCAAACAGCCCGCCCCCTTGGCTTCCTCTAGCTGTGTTCGGAACGGGTCAAAAAGTTCTTGATGGAACAATCAAGAGTCACCCAACCCCTGTTGTTGCTGAATAATCTGGCCATCAGATTTGAGTCTCCATTTTCTATACGTAGTCCCACGGGCCACTATCGTTGTCAGTCACCTGCACGCACCGAGGCTCTCTGTCTATTGCACCTTATGCTCTTTCTAGTTAAGTGGGGTCATCCACTTGCGCGTCGTCGTGTCTAGAATGCCACGATGCCGAATAGGTTCAATATTGTCCTTATCATGTGCGACATCTTTTCATGGTGCCAAACTTTCGTATATATGTCGAGCCCTTGTCTTGGCCGGCGCAACTTGCCCCTGCACCCCCGTGGTGCTTTGCCCGGGGAACCCGGCGGCTCCCGCTTTCGTTCGGCGGCACTGTCCGTACCTTAACCGCTGCATCGGACACCAGATGGTCGCCGGCGCGAATGTTTTCAGCAGCCCATAGGCCAATGGACTTTACACAAAACTGCACAAGCATAGTTGTTTCTTTGAACGTTGTTGAGCTATTATTGTCTGCGTCGATGATCGATTCGCAAATCTCGAAAGGTGGGATCGGGTTGACCCGTGGTGGTGCCCGAAGATGGTTCCTTCCCATCATGGTCTGTTTAAACCACCTCATAAACACTGCATACAGTACAATTTCCCCGAGGCCTACCACCCAAGCATGATCTGTCGTCAAACGAGTCGTATATTACAAAAATCCCAAGGAGCAGCTACCCAAGTGGAGGGAGAGCTCCTGGAGCAAAAAAGAAACGCGTTCGGTGAGTTGGCACCGCCTAGTTGAAAGGCGCTGTCGCCTGGCCCTCGAGGTCCGGTTCGCCCTGAATTTCATAGTACCTGAGGTATCTGGCTTCAGCCCGGTATCTGGTCGCTTCGTCCATTTCAGCGCCGGCTATCCCGTTCTCTTTGCCATTGGCGGTCGCCTTGTTGAGCAGAGAAATGGAGCTTGGCCTGTACCATTGTTAGCATCATCTAAGTGTTGCTGCGTGAGAGCTGTGGCGTACCCGAAAATCTCCCTGTCAACAGTCAAAAACTGCTTCATCGCATCCTTGCCGCCCCGCTGCTGCAGGTAGGACAAGTAAATCTGGTACAGTTCCTTCTTCGTCGAAGCTGACAGGCGGCTCTTGGTCCGGAGTTCATCGAAAATCTGCTTGACGCGATCGCCATGCTGGTCCTCCACCTCCGTGCTCGTGGCTTGTTGCAATTCGAACTCGAGCCATTTGTTCCAGAAGACGCGGCTGTCGGCATACCACTGCACGTTTTTGAGGAACACATTACGTGCCTCTTCGACAGAACCCTTAACCCTCCACAGGAAGAGTGCCCATTCGGTAACAAGAGCAGCCTTAGTGAAGATATCCACATGGGGAGAGTCGATCTGCGCCTTGAACACCTCGATAGCCGCGTCCAGGCCGCTCTGACGGCGCTGGAGGTGAGCCCAGGAGGTGATGACCTCGATGCAGTCGGGGAGTTTCATGAGGATTGCCGCATGAATATCGCGAGCGATGTCAACGCGCCCACAGCTTTCCTCAAAGTAGGCAAACTGCAGCCTGATGCCCGGACGGCTGATGGGCACATACAGAGTACTCGCTCGCTGGTAGATGATCCTAACCTCTTCCTCCTTGCCCTCCTGCGCAGACATCCACCGGGCGTACCGGAACCAGAATTCGTCGTAAAAAGCACACGTCACCAAGCACCGCTCGTAAAGGAAGACGATACGGGTGAAGTTACCTTCAGATTCCTCAAAGTCGAGGTATTTGCGCCAGTTAGCGAGCTGAGAACTCTCCAGCTCCGTCACGTGAAAGTAGGGCCGCTTCATCTCGGATTCGTAGGTCCATCGCTTGTTCGTCTCGGCCTGGGTCTGAGTGAAGTACTCGTAGTACATGGCGTCGATCTTGGTGCGAACATCGCGCTCAATCTCGAGTTCCGTTCGCTGAACGCCAGCAAACTGGGCACTTTCAGCCTCGACCTCAGCCTTGAACTTGGCCAACGTCTCAGCGGGGACCAGCTCGGTCACGGGACGGCTGTGGGATAGCTGGCGGAAACGCTCGAAATACCGGGCATACTGGTGCATCGGGATGTGGATGACGCGGGACAGAATGGCAAAAATCTTGTCCTGGGCCTCCTGGCGCTCCTCATATTCAATGTACTTATCCCAGAAGGGGTGGGCGAGGAAGTCTAGGCCGACGCAGGTAGCACCGCGTTCGAAAAGTCTGGAATAGAGGATCAGTATACGGACAATGGCTGGGGAAGGGGAGTGGCAAGAGGTATGGGGAAGGCGGGCTATACAGGAAGGGGTATCAAATGAAATCAACTAGCGAATCCAAGCCCAACGTAAGGTGTTCCAATGGGGGCGACGTGGTGAAGATGCGACGTGAAGCGGACAATGGATCAGTCATCGTCAAGTGGAAATCAGCAGGGCCTGGTAACTACTAGCGTGAGAGGGCATCCCAACATTGGGGCTGCTGTTGGCATTTCTCACCGACGAATACTTGTGAAGAAGGCGGCGGGTGAGGCCCATGCACCGCTCGATCGAGCTGTTGAGCGGCCGGTGAGGCATGCTGTGGTGATGGTGATGTTAAGGGGAAGGAAAGCCGGCCATCAAATACTTACTCTCTGACGAGGTGTGGGACGTGGGTGGTCTCCATTTTGAAGGAGCAATAGTCGGTCCACAAGTCGACAGAATTGGTGATACTGGCGCATCCTCGCTCGTAAACCTAGAAACCCGCTCCGTCAGCCGTAGCTTGGAAGCAAGGGGTGCGCTGCGCGCTGCGACGGCAACTCACCATCTCGGCTGATTCGGGCCCAGCGATATTGAACTCGAGATCGGCGTACTTCTTCCAGTAGCCAAAGAGCAGAGGGAACTTGAGGAGAAAACGGTCGTATGCATCGCGAAGAGTAGCCAGGGCCTGGGGGCTGGAGTTGCGGTTCAATCCGCCCTCCAAACCCTCGCAGGCGCGGATCAGCTTCTCCCAGGTCTCGAAGTTATCGGGATCGGCATCCTGTGCGCGCGCGAGACGGGTTAGCGACTGCTCAGTTTGGATTTGATGATGGGTGCGACGAAGTAGACGATATCGCAGTCAGACATACCACATCAGCCTGGAGCTTCTTGATCTCGGCGCTCTCCTCCTCAGAGCTCCCGAAATGGTCGTAATCAGACATGGCGAGCGCGGGTCGGATAACGAATGGCAGAACAACTTGGATTCCGAAGAAGGGTCAGACAATGCGCCAAGCCCGGATGAACAGCAGCAGGCGGCAGGGGCGGATTGCAGATGGTTGAATGAAGGCACCGCGAGCGTCGAGGCTGTTGCTGTTGGGAATCGTGGATGGCCGGGACAAGCTTCGAGGTCGCGAAAGGAAGGGGGCTGGATATTTTTTAACAGCGCTAAGGGACTGGGGCTGCACCTGTACCTCACGTCTCCAATTGGAAAACGGGGGCTGAGGCAGGGTGAGGATGTTCGTCCCCCTTTGCGCGAACCAAATGCAATGGTACGCGGAGCTGGTGTACACACCTTAGCAGGCAGACCCTTGCTCTCAGTGCTTCATCGGTGACGCGGCGGAGAAGCGAACAAGTTCAGCCAAAAGCTAGGAGACATCAGGCGGTCGCCAGTCCGCCCGCACAGGGTGCGAGGTACAACCACAGCAGGTACATGTGCCAAAAGCCCTACACGCCTAAGTGCTTATCCACGTAGGTATAGTAGGCCCTGTTCACAAGTGCAGTAAGTATTGTACACGAAGGCGTGCTGTGGGTGCTCTTCGCTCATCAGTTGCCTACCTAGGGAGGGCGTAAGGGTGGGCCATCCCACCTTTTCCCAGTGGTCTTTCTATCTGCCCTGGCCCCTCTTGGCCTCTCGTGTGTGTTCGGATTCTGGAAAGAGACCGACTGATGAACGTTGGAGGTGTGGGGCAATGTTGTCGTCAGGCGGTTTCCCCCCTATTCCTTTTCTCTCGCTTGGCTGTCTGTGTTAGGTAAGCGATTGGCTAAACGTGGGGCCTATTTGACGTCCGATATCAATGAAAAACCTTTCCTCCTCTTTTCTTCTCTCCTTCACAATAAGGCTTGTGATGATTATCAAACAATACATGATAGGAAGAGAATGACTGACCACCCATGGTGGCAGCGTGATCTCAATATTATATCTGAAGCCTGGTCTGCAAGCATTGATTACGCCACTCCTGCGCCCGCGGGGGGTTTCCTGTCTAGGCTTCTTCAACTCCTCAACGTCTCATTTTTATATCGTTCCCTTTTTCATGTTCTCCCCACACGCCTTGATCAATTCTAAACTACTATTCGGGCATGTGACCGAGTTCGAAGCCTCTTCAAACTGGGCATTTCTCCAATTACCAAATTGCAGTCTTTTACCACTTGTTCATCTTGGCTTGGTAGAGTTCAGCCACTCGTTACCCGTGTGGCATGGCTGGGTCTGAATCTCGTTCGCAGGTAAAAACTGGGTAGAGGAAAATGCCACCAAAAACCATGCGCGATCAACCACTCATCCATAGCTGCAGCAGCTTTCAGTGCTTGCATGCTTGAAGTTAAGAGATTTGCAAGTGTGGCATATGGCGCGCAACTGCTGTCGTAATCGTCGCGGCCTAGTGATCTGCACCGCGACTGAGGCAGTGCAAATACGTCAAACCTGTGAATAGCAGAGGTCTCATCGGTCTTGTGGCTTTCGGTCGATACTACTGTACTAAGCCGCCAACAGTGTTGCACTACAACACCCCCCCTCCCCCTCCCCTGGCAGACATCGATACAATATGCCCCAGGTGAAACGGGAGCGACAACGGTTTCTTGCGCTACACGTGTCAATCTTGGCGACGGTAAGATTTGTGAGGCATGTCTAACTATTGTGTTCGATGTGGAAGCAGGCATACTACAATCAGCAGGCCAAGTGGCGGAAACCTAGCAAGTGTCCAACCTTGGAGAGATGACCGTAAAGAGAACCGAATCGACTGTTTGTGTGAAAGTGGGCGATAGTCGACCTGCATGGAAACCTCCTGAACAAAGTCCGTTGCGCAAACCCGTAAAGTTGCGGTGAACGGTCTATTTCCATGCATTGTGATACAACTCACGGCAGCAATGGCATGTTCGTATGCGGAAATGGTCATTGAGGCGATGCTCTCGAGGATGTTTGAGCCATGATCTAACCACACATCATCATCATCATCATCATCATCATCACCATCGGCATAGTTAATATTTGCGGCGATGGCAAGCCAGTTAGCGAGACCATCACAGCTGCCTTTGGATACGGGCAACTACTTCTGGGGCACATGCAGTGACCCTTACATCAAGGAGTTACTGGGGAAATTAAGCTGGGACGTCCCAGAAGCGCATAAAACCTGGGGTTAACTCAGTTGCGCCTCAAGCATGGTAAAGTTATGATTGCCTAGGATGCGCTGGTGCCTATTTTGCTTTAAAGGGCCTTGTTCGATCTGATGGACCTTGATCCATATTCAAGTAGTGATTTCTGGTTGTCTTGACGCGCAAGATGAAGTCGACCAGTGATACCGATGTTTTTCGATCATGTATCACGTAGCAAGATAGTGAGTGCCAAGATACAAAGGTCGCCTGCAAGTACGGATACGCAACTGTCAAATTTTTTCGCTCGGATGCCTTGAAGATGTCTTTCCCGATGGCTTCTGGCGGAGGTTCATCGCATCTCTGGCGTTTGCGTCACCAGTTCTCCTAATGGAAGTTTGTGACTGCAGCACTAGCAACTTTGGATCCGGAGGAACCTAAGATATTGCCGCCTTCGAGTGCTGGGCCGAGATAGGTCGTTAGCAACCCAAGCCGCGCGCTGGCTCCGCCTGGGTTGGAATTCTTTTGAGTAGAAATGTCGTGTTCAGGGTCTGCAAGATGCCGTGCCAAGGTACGTATTTCCTTCCCTGTCTTTCAGGTAGCAAAGGTGGTCCGTGAGGCTGAAACGAGAAGCGAGCTGCCTGTCCAGTCGAAGTCTAGGTGCGTGGCTGCTAGGGATACAGCGGCCCAGCATCCAAAACCCCCTGGTACCTATGGCGGGACGGACGTCATTGTCGGGCTCCGTATTAGCGAACCAGATTCTCCTTCAGTCAGCCACGACGTTCGCCATTGAGCCTCACAACTTTCACTCATTGCGCGATCCCACCTTCCTTCACGAAACGGAAGTGCCGCTGCGACCTGTTTTCTCCCCGAGTCGTCGCCGAGCCTCTATTTTGCGGCCCCCTCAAGGACGGCGTCCTTGGATGAACAAGAACCGGCATCCTTCTCCAAGCATGCTCTGCGACAACTGCGCAGCTTCCCCAAGTCCTTGAGCAACACCTCCCACCCACCATGGACAACATTAACTCCGGATCATGGCCTGCTCAAGTGCCGGCACCAGAAAAGTCTAGTCGTCTTTACATTCGCGACTATCCCCATCGATCCATCGCCCTTGTCTCGTCCTCCCACGCCCTCATATTCCGCTACAGCTCCGTCAGCACCGGCACAAACGGCTCCCTTACCTCGCTCGCATCTACCCGGTCACGGCCAAATGGCGACGGTGCCGCATCGAAATGCATGGTCGAATTCACTCAAATCACAAAAAAAACTCTGACCGACTACCGCCCTTTGACCCCACGACCGATCTTTGGAACATTGGGTCTGATATCCGTCGAGGGCGACGTGTTCCTTTCCGTCGTGACACATGCTACCAGAGTCGCCACCCTTAGGCCGGGGGAGACCGTGGAGCGGATCGCAAGCGTTGCCTTCTTCTGTCTCAACAGTAGCGAGTGGGACGACGTTGTTTCTTTGGACCCATTAGATTCCGAGGCGTCAGACGCCAGTGCCTTGTATGGTCAGAACCTCAGAGGACGAGAGGTTCAAGTGGAACATCCATGTACAGACCTTCGCAAGCTTCTGGGCAATGGCACCTTCTACTACAGCACCGATTTCGATTTGACGAACAGATTGCAGGACAGGTAATGCTTGGGAACCCCCACTGGAATTGCAGCTTGCTGACTGTTTAGAACGGTGAACTCGTACACGTTTGACATCGACAACTTTGACGACTCATATCTATGGAATTCGTACATGATCAGCCCGCTGGTCCAGTTTCGATCACGACTGTTGCCCCAAGAGCGGGAAGCTTTAGATTCGTCAAGGTTCCTAACCTCTGCCATCCGTGGCTTTTGTCGAACTATGGCGATCCCGCAGACAAGCGCCCCATTGAAGACGCGATCGAGCGGTTTGCCTTCGTACCTAACTGTCGTATCAAGACTATCCTGCCGTAGAGCTGGCACCCGTTTCAACTCGAGAGGAATCGACGATGATGGTAACGTCGCCAACTTTGTAGAGACAGAGACCATCTACTGGAGCCCAGGAGGTACCCTCTTCTCCTACGCCCAGGTCAGAGGCTCGGTTCCGCTGTTTTGGGAGCAGACAGCGGAGCTCATCCCCGGCAAACAAAATATCACCGTCATTAGATCGCCAGAAGGAGCACAGCCGGCATTCAACAAACACTTTGCGGACCTGGAGCAGGCCTATGGCGCTGTGCATGTCGTTAACCTATTGAGCGAGGGCAAGCCTGGCGAGGCACAGCTCAGCCAGTTGTACCATCTGGGGATAGAACATTGTCCACTAAGCCAGGTTGGCGAGGAAGAATCGCAAGACCACGCGCTACTAAGAGAAACGCACTATGACTTCCATGCCGAGACGAAGGGACCGGGAGGTTACGAAGCGGCACGTCAGATTCGCAGATACATTGAAAAGTCGATAGATGGATTCGCCTACTACTTAGCCGAAGAGTCGGATGATGGAGCTACAGACAACAACGACTACCAAGACTCGAACCGCATGGTAGTGGTTCTCCAGCAGGAAGGAATATTCCGGACGAACTGTCTTGATTGTTTGGACAGGACGAACCTGATCCAAACCCTTATATCGCAGATGGCCACAGAAGCTTTCCTGAGCCATCGCGGCGAATATGCTACGTCTGACTTCTGGATGAGACACTCAACTCTCTGGGCTGACAACGGCGATGCTCTGTCAAAGATCTATGCCGGCACTGGTGCTCTTAAATCGTCTTTCACACGCTCCGGAAAGATGTCACTGGCTGGTGCTGTGGCGGATATGCGCAAATCGGTCCAGAGGCTCTACCACAACAACTTTACGGATTCAGCTCGGCAGACGACGATTGACCGCCTTCTTGGACGCCTTGTCAACCAAACGCCCGTCCTTCTGTTCGATCCCATAAGCGACTATGTATCCAGTGAGCTCACTAAGAGAAGCGCCGAGTTCTCTTCCGTCCAAGACATCACCATGTAAGTGTACTTCCCGCTATCTTGTCTTCGAGATGCTTACCGTAGGAGGTTGGTTGGCACTTTCAACTTGAACGGCCGTACCGAGGGTGTTGACAGCGATCTTACTCCATGGCTAGCCCCAGAAGAGCTCGGTGACGTGTTGCCTGAAATCGTCGTCGTGGGATTTCAAGAGATTGTTGAGTTGAGCCCGCAGCAGATTATGAACAGCGACCCTTCCAGAAAGCAATTATGGGAAGCCGCAGTGCGACGATGCCTCAACAAGCGTTCGAAGGCACTCGGCGGCGAAAGATACGTTTTGCTGCGGAGCGGGCAGCTTGTTGGTGCTGCGTTGTGCATCTTCGTCAAGGCCTCGGCCTTGGCTAACATTAAGAATGTCGAAGGTAGTGTCAAGAAAACAGGGTTGTCAGGCATGGCGGGCAACAAGGGCGCGGTTGCGATACGATTTGACTATGCGAATACCCATATCTGCTTTGTGACAGCCCATTTGGCTGCTGGATTTTCAAACTATGACGAAAGAAATAGGGACTACGCAACTATCCACCACGGACTCCGTTTCCAACGGAACCGCGGCATCGATGATCATGGTAGGACGCCTTTAGAATCCACCTTGTGATATACGAGCTGACCCGGATACAGATGCTGTTATATGGTTGGGAGATTTCAACTACCGAATTGGGCTCGGCTCCGAATCTGCCCGAAGCTTGATCAAGAAAAAAGACCTGGAGACGCTTTATGAGAACGACCAGGTAAGGGGCAGAAGTTACTTTTCTGGATGGGCCATCATGCTGACTATGCTCTGTAGTTGAATCTCCAGATGATTGCGGGACTTGCATTCCCGTTCTATTCTGAGGCTCGGATCAACTTCCTGCCAACGTACAAGTTTGACCTTGGGACGGACGAATACGATACATCGTAAGCCGAACGGACCGGCATCGTCTTGCTTGTAATGCAGAGATTGACTTCCAAGCAGTGAAAAGGCACGCATCCCAGCGTGGACAGACCGAATTCTGCGCAAAGGTGCAAACTTGCGTCAATTGGCATACAACTCGGCCCCGCTCAAATTCTCGGACCACCGGCCGGTATATGCCGTTTTCCAGTGTAACGTGAGCATTGTTGACGAAGCCCTGCGGGATCGAATCAGCAAAGAGCTCTACCATCGAAGGAAGGCGGATGTAGGAGATGCAACTGCCAACTTGGACTCCGAGGATACCGAGGACGAGGACTTGATTGGCTACGAAGCCATTGAGCCGGGACTGCCCCCTGCGAGCTCTGACCGCCAAAAGTGGTGGCTGGAGAACAAGCAGCAGGCGAGAGTTGACATCAAACAGCCCAAAGCTCCCGATGGACACGCTACGGTGCTGAATCCTAACAGACCCCCTAATCCCTTTGCGCCAACGGGAGAGCCAGACTGGGTCAACGTGCCAAGGTCAAGACTGTCTTCTTTCTCCAGCGTCTCGACATCGCCGTACGAGCACGTCTACGCTCCAACCGACCTCTCGTCACCGGCTTCAAATAGGATTGCGAGAAAGCTGCCGCCACCATTTGATCAGTCGGCCTTGTCATCAAAAGTTGGCGGACTCATCATCAAAGACGATAAGTCTCAAAGGGGAGAAACGCCGCCGCCGCCGCCACCGCCGAGGAGACAGACGGGGGCCAATGCAGCAGTTCAACAACCCCCATTGATACCCTCGAATCGGTCGCAAAACCCGACACCTCCACGGCCGTCATCTGCGATCTCGCAGCTGTCGCAGCTATCCTCCCAATCGAAGTCCAAGCCCGCCCCGCCCGTTGCGAAGAAACCAGCACACCTGGCCACGTCTCCGAATCTGAGCAGCAGCGGAGCCGTTCTATACAAGGATGATCCGACAGAAAGACCACCGCTGCCGGTCCGGGCTTCGACGGGTTTTACCAACCTAAGCGCGGGATTGGAGGGAGGAATGAATAGAAAGCCAATTGGCACTCCCGCCAAGTCTCCCAAGCGTGCAGACACACTGGACCCCGAGCCCGGCAGACAGAGCCCGATGGTTGGGGCAGTCGCCCTGCCCGGTATGCGAGCTAGTGAAGCACGGGCCAAACCGAAGATCCCAGCTAGAAAACCAGTAGATCTATTAGATTCCCTTGCCGATGAAGGACCGAGCGACATGGGAAGCTGGGAGACACTGGTTCCCACTACGCAAAGATGATGGATTGATCCTGTAGGGTCGATGGACAAAATAAGACACAGGTGTGCGAGAACTGTTGACGGCATAGACTGCTAGGCGGGGCTTGGATGGACCGGTGGACTTGCTGTTGCCATAGAATTGCTGAGGATGATTGAACGTAACGAACAAATGCAAAACCATAGTCATTCATCATGACCCAGTGCGATAATTGTAGCGCGCCGGGAATCGACTGGTGTCTCACGCCAGTCGATTCCCCGGTTCCGTCCTCGGACTGTATGAGGAAGCTCTCCGCCTCCGCCGGTCGGGGGAGAGGGACTAATCTCGAAGCGATCGGCATGGGTGAGCCGATGACTAACGCCAATCGGCTTTCATGCTACAGCCACCCACATCACAACTTCGTTCCAAGAATCCCCTTCACCTGGTCATACACGTAGACCGGCTTCACTGAGCCGGATGGATGGGGGATGGATGAACCCTGGGTTATGACTTTCACAGGGAAGTCGGACTCTTAGTTCTCGGCCGCGCCCGCGTGCTTTTGCCCCTCTGTCATCTCAGACCGTTGCAGGCAGGGCCCACAACATGGTCCTCTTGACCAACTAAGACATCACACCGCTTCCTCCCACCTGCAGTACCCTGGGGGTTGGGGCTGCTTCTTTTTCTCGTCCTGTGCTTAGTACCTATGTAGGCCTTAACATCTGACAGCGGCACTATGCAAGTCACGCGCCCCCCCTCGAGCGCCACGGCGAAGAAGGGGTAGTGTTCGAGCTTTGTTGGTTGGGAGACGACTCCACCAGTGCAATTGCACGCGCCGCGCCGCCCGCACCAGCCTTCCCTGTACCTACTGCGTACTGGTACTGTGGTTCCCTTCACTTTTGTCCGCAGCAGCCGCATGCGGAGGTTCCACTCAAATGCCCGGTGCTGTACAGGAGGATCACATAGCAAGTCCGGGCCGCCTGCGTTCCCTGCCCTGGCCCTTGCCTACACCATTGCTCTAGTGCGGAAGACCGGGCAGTAGGAAATAACATAGGCTGGGTCTGCCGATCGCGGGGCAGGCGAAGCCCGAAGCAGACAACGTCCTTTCAAGGGACGAGAGAAAGGAAGGGGCCCGAGACGTGTAGAAAGTAGAAGCGGAAGCATTCTCCCCTCTCTCCCTCGTCTGTCCCGTACCTCCAAAGACTTGCCTTCTGCCCATCTTTGGCTGAGCGTCGCCTGAGCACGTCTGCTTCGCTTCAGCACTCCGGCTTGTCTTATTCCCATCCCATCTTGCCTGGCCTGACCTGTGCACCTCCGCCGACCTAAACGTTCAAAACGCCCCAAGAAGCGTGGTAGAAACATCTTGCAGGCCGAGCTACATAGGTGCTGCGTTGCGTTCTCTAATCACCTACACGGCCTGCCCCTCTGCGTCTTGCTCACAATCCTCCCCAAAGTCAAGGGGTAACCCTCTTGACCCCTTGAATCGAGATTTCGTAGGGCCGAATAACACACGGACGGGCGTCATTGTTCGTCACATCAACACAAACAACGTGGGCCGACCCCTCAGCCGCTTATTCTACCGGCTTCGTTGCTCGTGCTGTTTTGTTTCCACTAAAGACCTGCAGCAACCATCTGAGCATCGACCGTATCACTTCGAACCCGGGCTTTCACCTTCTTCATCTCGAAGGATAGAAACTGCCACCAATATACATCCGTACAAGGGACGAGGACTGGGCTTCCTTTAGCTGACCAGTTATAATCCTTCCCCTTCTCTCCACCGTTATCTTTTTACCATCTTCCTGTGGCCCTAGCCTTTCCTTTTTGTTCCCCTCCGGGTTGGCTCGTTAGCCTTTTTTTGTTTTGTTTCGTACGCCTTGAGGCGTTCTCCCCAAGCCCTCACCCCCTCGGGTTCCCCAGAGACCGGATGGCAAGAAAAAGGCTTGACTCGTTCATCAACCCTTATCATCCTGCACTACCTGGTTTTATGCTGCCCAAAACCGTTTAAGGTCCTGTCTACTCCGCCCGTCCTCCCTCTGCCTCACACATCAACCCGCCCTAAGTCAGTCATCTGCCCGCCTTCAACTCCCACACACCCATACATCCATTCGGGGGGGGGCATCGGAATCCGGGGTTGGCGCCGACTAATGATCTTGGGCGAACACACGGCTGAAGGGCACATGAACCGTGTGTTTGAGTCGATCCGCCGAGCAGAAACAGACACAGAGACGCCCATGACACCACCCCAGTCTGGTCCCGTGTGTCACCTCACCTACACGACACGCTTCGAACTTTAATATCCTCTTATTTTTCTTCTTTCTGCTCCTACTTTTCTTTCCCTCAATTTACACTTTCTCGTCCTGTCGACAAAAATCACCAAAGCGGTCGAATCTTGGCGACGACCGTTCTCGGCAGCGAACACCTAATTCTGCTTTATCGTCCTGTGCAGAAGACGCGCAGGCCATCTCGAAGTCTCAGCACACTTGTTGCTTTCGGTCTTGGCTCAACACAGCATTTTGCCGTCACTCCATTATTGGCAACTCGACGTTCACAGCCAGGAATCACTGATAGCGGGGACCCCACTCTCAGTCTGAGCACCTGACCCCCATAAACACAACAGCACGGCCAACTCTGATAATTCTTGGAGAGTAGTAAAGAGGACGCAAGAAGAAAAAAAGCGACAATAACAAACAGCCGCCGAGATGTCTCTTCAGAATCCATCTCTCAGCAAGCAACAGCGAATACAAGTCTGGCGCGAGGAGGTTGCCGCCTCGGCATCCCTGTGCACATGTCCACCCTCCTCGCCGGCAGCATCCGCCTCCTCAACAAACATCTCCCTGTCTGCGGCCTCGTCATCTGGCTCCTCGTCGGCGTCCTCACCGGGGACAGGTGACGCCTTCACATTTCCACGCAGCGACATGCTCCCCTCACAACAGACGCATTGCCCGACATGCTCCCGCCTAGGAGCCCCGCCTGCAATGGGCTTGGACCCGTTTGCGGCTTACCTCGACCAGGCGGAGGCGCTGCCCGGTGGACATGTACCGGTGGGGATATTCCGTGCAAAACACGGCAGCCACCCAATCTTCCGTGGCATGCGCAACCTTGTCCGCAAGCTCAGCGGGAGCAAAACCGGCGGGCCCATGCCACCCCGCGGCGCTGAGGAAGCCACTAAGATGTACCGACGCGTGACCCTCGCTGCCCCCCTTAATATCAAGATTCACGATGCCGCCGACGCGGAGCTGGACGCGGACGGGGACTGCGTCGTCGGCGAGGCAAACTCGGATGGCCGGGGCCACGTGCCGAACTTAATTGCCGAGAAGCAGGCGCGGCTCAGAAGGGCCGAGAGGTTGCTCACCAGGAGCCATGGAGGCCGTTAAGAGTTTCGATTGTACATAGGGGTGGACGAGCAGGATGAATACTACCCGGGTGCTGCTATAATGAGTCGCATATTAAGAGGTCGATTGGAATATGAGAAACAAATTAATGGTCGGTGCTTGGCGTTTTCATTTATTTGTTTGTATCTGGGTTCATGTTCGTAGAAATGGCGTCGGTTCGCATCCATGGCTGAACACACGCACACAAATGTAGCTCGTGCAGGAAATACTAATTTGCTACTTTTTCAACTGGCTGTATGTAACCTGCACTGATGATGTCCGAAGTGGACGCCATGTCAACATCACTGCTGAGATTGCTGACTCCTCAAGACGGCAGGACCCCACGGGTCCAACGTCGTGGGGAAACCTTCAAAGTGCGCTTCATCAATCACTACTTGTTGAGCTCCTCTTGTCCCATGCTGTCCCAAACCGGAATTAGTGACATGCTTAGTACCCAGCACAAATCGCACGTGTCAAATACACCGAATCATTTGGCCCAAGGTTGTTGATGAACATTTGTTATTTTCTTTTTGGTCTTGTAAGACTGAATAGACATGGGGCATTGGGGGAAGGACTCTCTCTCTCTCTCTCTCTCTTTCTCTCTCTCTCTCTCCATGAGAAGACGCGCGACAACTGAAGGACCACTATGAGGAAAACCGAAAAAGAGAACACGAGACAGCCGTAAACCATCCAGCACAGGGGTAAAAAAGCAGGATTCGGTAAGAACAAAAGGAGACGAAATTCTGGGCATGGACGGGTATGAAGAAGGGGGAAGGTCGGTAGTTAGCTGCCAAGTAGAGTCTCTCCAACACCGCCCCCGGTCCAAGGAACAAGGCTGTTCCAGACCAGGATGGACATCCAAGGGACCAAAAGGGACCATGCCACGCATTATTCCTTTCTCCGCGTTCAAAACCCCCAAAACCCTCCCCTTTCGCCAAGAGACTCGCTTGTTGCAAGTCGCAGATATCATCAGCCACTAATGTGGCGGCCAGATCTAGCCATCAGAAGGTCCGCATGTAGCGCATACCGACGGCCGAGTAGATGAGCCATCTCAGTCCTATCGTGAGCTGAGATGGAGTGGTATCAGAGTAAGACAGAAATTTAGGAGGCAGCAGGCGTCTCCTCGGCGGCCTTAGGCTCCTCGGTCTTGGCCTCCTCCTTCTTCTCCTCAGAAGCCTCGGCGGTGCCAGCAGCGGCGCCCTCAGCGTCGCCGCTGTCGGAAGAGGTCCAGAGGGTAAGGTTGTCACGCAGGAGCTGCATGATGAGGGTGCTGTCGCGGTAAGACTCCTCGGAGAGAGAGTCGAGCTCGGCAATGGCATCATCGAAGGCCTGCTTGGCAAGGTGGCAAGCACGGTCGGGCGAGTTCAGGATCTCATAGTAGAAGACGGAGAAGTTAAGGGCCAGACCGAGGCGGATGGGGTGAGTAGGGGTCAACTCAGTCTGAGCGACGTCGGTAGCACTCTGTTTAAAAAAAAAAAAAAAAGAGGGCCGCGTTAGCTCTAGTATTCTCGAGAACAGTTGTGCCAAGACTTCATGTTTTCTCGTACCTTGTAGGCCTCGTGGGCAGCAGTGGCAGCACCCTTGCGCTTCTCGCCAGAGGCAAACTCGGCAAGGTAGCGGTGGTAGTCACCCTTCCTGGATAGTGGGACGTAGCGGTTAGTTACGGGACCGGAATGAACAGAAACCACGACAGATTGCGGCACCGGAGAACGTACATCTTGTGGTAGAAGACCTTGGACTCGCCGGTCTGGGCGTTAGGAATAAGGCTGTCGTCGAGGACATCGAGGACATCCTGGCAGACCTGCTCGAGCTCGGTCTCGATCTTGGTGCGGTACTCGCGGATGGTGCCGACGTGCTTGTCGGAGCCCTTGCTCTCCTCCTTCTGCTCAATAGAGGAGATGATGCGCCACGAGGCACGGCGGGTACCGACAACGTTCTTGTAGGCAACGCTCAGGAGGTTGCGCTCATCGACACTCAGCTCACCGCCCAGCTTGGCAACCTCCTTCATGTAGCCGACCATCTCATCGTAGCGCTCGGCCTGCTCGCAAAGGCGAGCGAGGAAGGTCTTGCTGTAGGGAAAGAATCAGTCATGATGCTGCACGCGGCAACTGAGATTTTGGTGGATGGGAGGTAGTCCATCGACGAGGAGGCTCAGTACAAACCTTTCACGCTAGAAGAGGGGCACAAGTCAGCATGCTTTCTTTCCGCAGGTCATAGCAGCAATGAGTGATTTGAGAAGGACAGGAGAACGGGCTATCGACCTCAACCACAGCCAAGAGAAAGGGAGGAGGGAAATCGGAGAGGCGCACGATGCAAGTGGCCGTTCAGCAGTCACATCATGGACATGCTCGTTGCGGTGGCACAGTCATTGCAGAGGGACGAGCGAGGGGCGACGGAGGGGTTTTTGGAGTGAGGTGGTAGTGTTGAGCAGCGTGGGGGAAATGGTACTTACATCGCCAGACATGTTGTACTTTGGGATTGAGGTGATGCGACTAGGTTGAGGTATAAAAGAGAAGTTTGACCGAAGGTAGAGATAGATATGGTGGCAGGGCGTGCAACGGGGGTCGGTGAGAAGTTGACGCGGGTTTGTTTTGTTGTTGTTGAAGAGTGGAAAAAGATGTGTGTGGTGGGAGAAGGAGGGAAGGCAGAGGGAGTGTTTACGTGTGACGAATTATTTTGGGAGGGGGGATCTCAAAGGGAAGTTGCGAGGCCAGTGAAGATTTAATCGGGCTGGTCCAAGCCCGCCGTCCACTACCACTGTTCCTCAAGTCGCTCTTTCCCTCTCCGTCTTCTGGGCTGCTGGTTTCCCTACCCGTACCCGTACCTTGGGTCGGGGTCGTTGTTTCGCTACTTCCTGCCTTAGCAGCAAGCAATTGAGCGTGTGGACAGCCCCCCCATGGCACCTTACCCTGCTACCGCGCCGTACCGTAACATACCTGCCCTGGTTGGGGCCTGTGCCTGCTGCTCTGGCTGCTGGCACCTGCCGCCTCAACCCCACTACGTTTCCTTTCTTCCCCCCTCCCCTCCCCCCTCCTGGCTTGCCTGTGATGGGTCCTGGATTGGACTACTCAAGTGAATTGGACGGGAATGAGGTGGTCAGGCTTTCGGGGGCTCGGGGACTATGGTCTAGGGCATGGGAAGGTTCCAATTTGGCGGGAGGGGAAGAAGAATGGGGCGCCGGGCTGGGCTAGGCTCTGCTGTATCTAGGCCCGAGGTTGCTACGAAGTAGAATTGTACCTTGAAAAGTTGAAGCTAGTAAATAATAGGCAGTGGGCAAGTGGCAGGGACATGCGGCCAGGGTTCTCTTTGCTCCTTTCACACCTTTTCTCTTGACTTTGCTGTATATTTGCCGATAGCATGGGGCATCTGAGGCGAAAACTCCTTTTTGGATTCCCATGTTTGGAAAGGGGAGAGCAATAGCGTAAGAGAGAGGAAGGCTGGAGTGACCAGGGCTCGATAGGGGGGTGGAGGGGAGGGGGACATTATTAGCATGTGGTGAGGTCCCTTTGGGTGGATTGTTGCTCTGAGATTACCTTAGCCTGCCGGGCAGCAGAGGCAAGATTCCGTATCGAGGGAAGTTGGGACACGATGTATCAGCCTAGTCCTCAAGTGACAGGCGACCAGCAGGCGAAAGCTGACGATGTACAGAAGAGGTACCTTCGAGGGCAAGCTGTTGGAGGTAGCGCTCGGCAGCAATTGCTTCTCTTATTAACCGAAGTCAAACTCAACGAGCCCGTTCTTGCCGGCCCAGCAGAGTTCCTCCTATCGACTAATCATCCCTAGTTCCCCATCCGAGTAATTGTCACGAGACCAAGGCTTGAGAGATTATAACAGTCGCCTCTCCAGTCCAGGAGATTAGAGCAGCAAAGAAATGGGCTGGCCAATTTGAGTCCGTGGGGAGGTCGTTCAGACAGGCCACCCAGATACCTCAGGTGAAGGTCATTTGCCTGGGCATGTTGAAATTGTGTGTGTGCGGGTGTTGGAGGACGGCCAGCTCAGCACACAACACATAGTACAGCAATACAGCGAGGCGACATTGAACATCAGGATGGCAAATACGGACGTCTAGAGGCTAGATCCACCCTCTCCATGCGTTTCCCCGCTCCTGCTTTGTGACACGCCCGCCATGTACGTATCTCCTTCCCTGGCCAAACCTGTTCTTTTTTTTCTGTCTCGTGATTCCTCTTCTAATGTTTCTGTCCTGTTCCAAGCACATCTACGCGTGATAAAACCCGCTGGCCCCTGGCTCACCGCACGCCCTGCGGTCGACCCATCAGCGAAATCCCCGCCCCTCACTCACTTCACCTCACCTCCCATCGTGTAACACCCTCTTCCTTCGCCTCCTATGCTCTGCTCAACACAACGACGGCGTGGCATTTGACGACACAAGTCGACATTGCATAGACACCCAAGCGCATTGGGCAGGCAGCCTGTATAATGATCAATCCAAGAAATGGAAGCAATACGCCCAAAAAATCCGCTTAGATTGGATGACGGGACCGCACTGGTTTCTGGAATTTTCACTTGTGGCGGCTTATCTCTCACCAAACCTCGAGGATGGGCATGTATTCTGCCCTCTACCCTTCGTTAAATGCCATCCCATCTTGTCTCGGACCATTGCACCCGGCCGTCTCAAATCGCATACAAATGTGTTTGGGGCTTACGCAAGGCCATTTCTCTATGCCTCCATACATACTGTCGTCAATCTGACGGCTACATCGAACAGCACAACTTTATTGGTAACCATGGGAAATTATTTGCTGGCCACGTCGTCGAAGAGACGAATGCAGTGTGTAAGTACCTTGGGACGTCCGTACCTACTATGTATTGTGAGCGTCAACCCCCCCCTGGGCGACAAACCCACCAAAAGGCATTGGGAAGGGGAATGGGCAAGACCGGCGGAGATCCTACGACAGGTAGGACACTGTTCGTCCACATCGGTTGTTGCTATTCCATGCCCTTCTTGCCTGTCCCGCTGAAGCCGGTGCCTCACTGCCGGGGACCAGCAGCCACTCGGCCGACCAAGCCACGAGGCCAGCCAGCCGACATGTTGTCCAACCACGACGACCGTCCCTTGACTGGTCACCTTGCTTTGCGGTGGCCCCCATTGCATCTCGCGTTACCGCTCACATGCATGCTTGTCAACAAGGCAATGGTGTCGTGTCATGCACGAAACTACTTTGCCCACCCGCCGGCGCACAGTCTGCGAAATATCCGATCGTTCATCAATCTGCGGTTTCCTCTGCCTTAAACCCCCAGAGATACCAGTTTCAACAGGGGGCGTGATAGGTCATCGTTTGAACAGCGGGCCATCCGGCATCCCTGATTTGGTCTACTTGTGAAATTATCGCAAAATACTTGCGAGTGAAACGTCAAAGGCTCAAGATGCCACCGCGATGACCAACTGAACTTGCCCAACCTGACCACAAGCATGTAACAACATCCGAGTTGTTTCCCTGGCTCTGACCGGCCAACACCAGGCGCATAACTCTCGACTTCTGGTACCCAATCTCTTGGCCCCCTACTTCGTCCTAAATAGGGCCATTCCTACCCTCCCTTACGATGCCATCGCAGCCGTAGTGACTCACGGCCAGCACAGCCCATGGAGGAGGGGGTTCCCCCTCCATGCAGTCGGGTTCAACAAGCGACACGCATGCGACAGGCCCACGGCTGCCGCCTTATCGCGTGGCATCCTCTGAGCGCGTGCAGTTCGAAATAACTTCCGCGATCCCAAGCGCACGCTTCGATGCGAACAAACCTGCTTTTCGGCAGTGGTAGCACGCCATTCCCCCTTCGACCTTGTTCCCCATCTGCCCCTCGTCTCCCACCCCTGTTTCTCGTCCCCAAGCGGTAGAAAACCTTTGAGAGATCTAGCAGGCTACGGGCGACGGTATTTACACGCGGATGACAGGCCAACCCAGTCCCCTCAGTGAAGCCCACTCGCTGGTCAGCATAAGCAGAGGGAGCGGCCTGATAGCCGCGAGGGAAAACGTCCCGACTTGGGACTGCTGCGGGCACAATTCACCCCGGACTGTTCCCGGCGCCCGCATGTTGCTTGCCAGCACGCCGACACCTTGCATGGCCGCAGCCTCCTGGGGTTCTTCGAGGGGCTCAGCAGGATGGCTTCCTTCTGGAAGTCGCGTTTTGCCGCTTTGGCCCCCACATGCCTTTGTACACTGCAGCGGACAGGCAGCCCAGCTCATCGCAGAACCGGGGGGATTTGGGCTGGGACTTTTGACGGAAAATCACTGGTGGGGGAGAGCTGAATCTTTCGTCTTCCCGACAGGTGAGGCAAGTGGAAACCTGCACAACGACCCCCGTTTGCGCAGAGTCTCCGACTCAGCAGCGTCGTCTGTGAGCGATTGGAAACCAGTCTCGTGTTGAACTCTGCGTGGCAAAGACAAACTGCCGCTAGCAGTTCTCAACGGCCAAGGTCGACGAACGAATCCACACGTTCGGACGCTTGTTGTCACTGAGGGCTTAACGGGCTTAGGCATCCGTCCGCGTTGGGGGGAACTGCTCCACGACTCAATCCCGACCAGGTTGATCCATTACGACAGTGACTGGACTTTAGTAACTTTCATTAATTCAGTACGGTCTTAGTATTGTAGGTATCGGCAAGTGAAAACGCCCGCCATACCATTCAAACGCCGCACTTTCTCTGCCTTTTGAGAGACCCTGCTTCGCGGTCAAGTATACAACCATGGGTACTGTAGCAATGACTTCTACCATATGCCGGCTACAGAAAGCCGTCAAAGTCAACCCCTCCTTCTTGAAGAAACCCGACAGCGCTTAGAGCTCGTCTAATACAGGATTTTCGTGTCCGCCGTGTTTGTCTCTCCCCCAATTTGCCGGGTCGCCACCAGGCACACAAAGCCCGAGTCTCCAAAAGTAATCCCTGTGGGCGAAGAGCAGTTGCCAAAGCTTGAGCCGGGCCGGGAACACCGGCAGCCTCTTCATCCATTTGGTCTCGTCGGCCACTTGTACAGACTTTGCAACCTCTGCCAGCTCCTGCACTTTGGATTCGAAGAAGCTGCCGTCCCCCTTCGTGATGCAGCGCGCGTCGCTGTCGCCACGGCAGACAATCACGTCTTCTAGAGAGGGCGACAGATCCACCTTGCTAATATAGTATTCGCCAGCATGTGGCTTGTAACCCCACTCTGTGAGTGGGAGCAGCGGCACTGGGTCGTCGGCGTGTGTCACGCGGCGGTAGGACCGCTTTGACAGATTCTCGTCTTTCTCGTTGTCCAGTCCAAAGACTTCGTCAACGTAGTTGCAGAGGCCCTGGTTCCCGACCTTGGGTTCGCCAAAAGTCGTAACGACAATGTTGTCCCAGCCAAACGACACCTTGAACTCGAGAGACGCAAGCATCGCGACGGCCCCTCCGAGACTGTGGCCGACCATATGGATGGGATAGTCGGGATATTGATCTCTCAGCTTCTTGACCTCGGGGACCACCAGGTTCCGCGCCTGGCGCCACGACGCCAGGAAGCCCATATGGACTGTGCATTCTTTGCACTTGTGCTTGGGCTGCTTGGATGGCTGGCCGCCGTCGTCGGGAGAGGGGTAAGGCACGTATTCCTGCGGTATCGTGCTTAGATCGATAATGGCGTTGGAGAAGCTGTAGGTGCCGCGGAACGCGACAATGATGGCCTTCTCCCCGACTTCGCCGTTGAACCTGTCCTCATCTCCCGGTCTGCGCACGCCGTGGTCCACGGCAATGTAGCCACAGCTGTCGCTCAAAAGGACCCCCGTGTTCCATGTCGAAACCAGCGTGAACGAGGGGAACTCCTTACAGCGGGATACGCATGAGAAGGGCTGCGATATACCTGAGGTACCGACGCAGTAGGTTATATCGACAATACGCGACGTGCGCTCGAGGGACCGGAAGAGTTCGACGGAAACGATCAGCGGAGGCGCGTCGGCCTTACTATCGTTGGTCAGCGACAGCGGCTGCTGCACGTTGCCGGACGGTGTCGCTGAGGCTAGGCCAACCAGTGACGCGAGCTGGAGGAGGTAGAGGAGAGGTTGCATAGGCGAGAACATTTTGTCAGTAGGGCTTCGTGATGGTGATGGTCTGCTAGTAGAGTGTTCCGCGAGGTGCAGCCTATGATCGATTGCCCAAGCTGGAAGACATCGCGCAGGGCGGAGTTGTCCTCTTTCAATGTAACCAGCGGAAGTGAGGGTAGGGAGAAACGTAAGGAAATAGTCCTGATGGTGAACGGTTGCGCAGAAGGAAGAGTTCGCAAGGTTGGGCTAGTTTGCGAATCAAATGAGGATGATCACGATTGATGGCATCGAAAGTCGATTACAGCCAGACTCTCCAGGAGCGCATGATTAACGATTAAATCTAAAATAGTGTTCCTTCAAATGAACTCGGTCAGAGATGTGTGCGTATGCTCAACAAGTAGCAGAAATAGGACGGGATACCGACGTCTCAGACTGATCTCGTGAGTATGATGAGGTCATATGGCAATGCAGGACCTGCTCTGCAATGCACCTAGGTACAAAAAAAGGGATGCGGAGAGGCGCGGCCAAGCGACGATTGCCGACAAATGGTTGGGCTTGAGTGGATGGTGCTCTGCCCCTGGAGGGAGGCCAAGTGGCTGCTGGGGAAAGGCCGAATTTGGATTGGACTGTCATTGCCCCGCTAAACTATGTCAGTTACCCGGCGGCTCCTTCCCCCTTTTACTCTTGATCTCCTGGCACTGCGCGTGGAGGAACGTTGATTACAGTCCCATGAGGGGACAGGCGCGGTCTGTTGATTATTTATTCTGTGTCCTATTTGTCCATGTGACTATTCTCCCGTCATATATTCCATGGACGCCGAAGTCGTACTATGTGCAACCTAATCCATTGTTGGGGAAGCATGATCTCGCCACGTCCAAACTTTGTATGTGACCTCATCGGGTCAGTTGTTCTCTGTTTCATCAAACATAACGTAGTGCTTGGTACCCTTCTCTTTTTCTGCTCAGTTCGTCCCAAGATTGTTTACTCCTCGCCGCCGCCTGGAACAGGCTGGATGCTGAAGAACCTGGATCGGATGTCATCCGAGTTGGACCTGCACGCAACGGCCCTCCTGCTCTTGCTGCGCCTGTGACGAGGAGCGGTAGCCGTCCCGTTCCCGGCAGCCCCGTCGCAGACCACCGGAACGAGGGCCGTTCCTGACACCTCGTAGTCGGCGGCACTGTATTTCGTCTGTCAGTCGCGGAGCCGCCGCAAATGTGGCGTAGAATCGATGGTTTAACTTACCCGTCTTCCCCGGGGCAGACTTTCTCAATCATAGTAATGGTTCCGTTCCGCGGGATGAACTGCACGCGCGCATCGTCGCAGGCGTACCGTGCCGTACGGCCATCGCCGGCCACAGGAATCGATGAGGCGTTGAGGTGGCATGACGTGCTGAGGATGGTACTGTCGTCGTTGTAGTTGAAGGCTAGGGACTCGATCGTCTTGCCGCCATCCGGCGATTCGGCGGCAAAGTTTTGGATCTGGAAGTCGTCGGGAAGAGTACAGTCGGAGGACTGCACCTTGGCCATGAGAGACTCAGGGACAGCGGCCATGTAAGAGACCGCAGCCTGGGCGGCCGGGGCGGCAATGACAAGGAGAGAGATCTTCATGTTGGGTATGATGGTGGGCGATATTATTAGGTATGGGAATACGGTTTCAAGCGCACTGTTCTAGGTTCAGAGAGGGGATGAAGAGGGTTATAGAAACGGACGAGAACTGGAAAGACAGGATGGCCCAAAGATGAGGTCTTGCGTTGATCACTGACCAAGCCGGTTCCTTCCAAGCTTGACCTTTAATATACCAGTTACGCACGGTACCCAACTCAGCAGCAAGGGCAGCTCCAGATTTCCATTGTCGTTCCTTGCAGGACCGGAGGTCTGCAGATCCTGATGCAATCAACCGGACCGACCCCGTCCATGGGATGGCTGAGGAGGACTGCCTAGCTCCATTTAAGGGGCAGGAATGCGACAACAAGCATACCAGTCCGTCATTAAGACGGACCTGTCGTTACATGGAGAAGAGTTTAGAGGTTAATGCTCACATTATCGGGGCTCAGCGTTGCTTCGCCTGCGGTCTTTCAGGGGAACAGTCAGTTGTGATTGGACAGTCTGTGTTTCATGTTTGCAAGTATGGCAGCCTACGCTGAGCTGCTGGTTGTTGATCCCATCTGGTATTACCAGCCCCTCTCAAGCCCATCCGTGGTTGAGCAGATCTCGCTCCGCTGTTCATGGTTTTTAGATGTTGTTCGGACGACAGTCAGGGAAGACAAGGAGAAATGAGTCTGTCCAAGGACGGAATTCCGTTGTATTGTGGGTACATAAGCTGGGTTGTGAGGGAGCCAGCCCAATGTCATCCGTAAGAGCGACGAAGCAAGCGGTAACCCAAATTAGTAGAACAATCCCGGGCTTGATGGACAGAAGGGAACATCAACGCGCGGCTCTGAGGCAACCTGGGCCAAAGCCGCCTGGTCGACCTGTTCGCGCCGGTCTACGGAAGAAGCAATAGTGCTGGACCTACTTGACATAGTCCAGACTTTGTCCCCCAACCGCAATCGTGCTCAGGCACCGATACGAGGTGCATGCAATGCGTCAAGTCTGAGTACCAGAACACAGCATACGGTAGCTTCCTAGTCTAAATGCATTCACGGCCTACCAGGGGATAGGTTTGGAAAGTCGGTGAGATGTAAGTGAAGGCGGCCGATTTCAGCCTGCGAGCGCTCAACAGCTACTTGGCTAGGCCCTATAGAAGAAACGAGCCAATCATACCGCATCGGAGATCAGAAAGCCACCAGCCCCTCCAAGCCAACTAGGTAACTCACTGCTTAAAGGCCGCTAAGCCAGTCAATATCCTGCTAACCCCAAGCACGTGACCGCACAAAGCCGCTCTGCGAAAATTGCCTTGGAAGTACCGAACTTTTTTTTTTTCCACGATCGAGCCTTTTCCCTCCTCTTCGACCATCACGACATTACTAACCCGACCACCCACCGTCCATCAGCAGCCCAATATCGAGCAAGATGGCAAAGGAAGCGCCCGTCCGCACCGGTCTCTCCGTCGGTCTTAACCACGGCCACGTACGTCGAACCACTGCCACTTTCACGACCCCAACCTGAGAGGAAGCCCTCGCGAACCATTTGCGAAACGAAGTTTTCGAATCGAAAGAAACGAGAATGGGAAACAGACATGACGCATACAATGGAAACAAGGGCTTCCCCAAGGGAAAGGGAAAACACCTCATCCCGCTTCGTCTCACCTCGTGGAGGATCTCTGCATACACACATAACCCTCTCCACGAGGGGAGCGAGCAAACCTTTGCCGCTTTCTATTGCAGAAGATGGACGCTGACCGGTTGATGTTGCTTCGGTAATATAGAAGACCACTCCCCGCGTTGTCAAGCCCCGCGTCTCCCGCACCAAGGGTCACCTGAGCAAGCGCACCTCTTTCGTCCGTGACGTCGTCAAGGAAGTTGCTGGGTAAGTGTCCATTCACACTCTTGGGTTACGTCAAGTGCTCCGTGTATCACTGTTTCCACACCGGGAGAAGCGCCTCGGTCTTGTCCCGCGATACCGGACACCACGGCCCGAATACCTGTCAGACCTTGGCTTGCGTAGGATGCTAACCACCATCCTCCGCCACAGCCTTGCCCCCTACGAGCGCCGCGTTATTGAGTTGCTCCGCAACTCCAAGGACAAGCGTGCCCGCAAGCTCGCCAAGAAGAGGCTCGGCACCTTCGGCCGCGCCAAGAGAAAGGTCGAGGAGATGACCCGCGTCATCGCCGAGTCCCGCCGTGTCGGTCACTAAACAGATCGATTTCGACGTACGGGTGTACTGGCAAATATTGGGTTGGGCATAAGGGTTCAAAGGCGTGGTCACAAAAGTTGTCTTTTCATGAACTCCCCTTACGGTTTCTGATATGCTGCATCGCGGAATAGCTGCAGCTCACGACGACAAATACCAAAATTTCAAGCACACCCATTGTTGCCTCGTTTTCAAATGATTATCTACCCCTTGATCATGCTTATGATTTCTGACGTGCGAGGTGTTGAAGAAAACAAAGACTCTTAAACTTATGCCGGATGTGCCAAGCTATGAACATGCTCGCCAAGTTCTATGTGGAAATGGACAATAGCCATAAATTTTACGAGACGCGAATCTGTCTACTTCTTTCCGGGCAACTTAAGCCACTTGGGTAGCTTCTTCGCAACGCTACCATCGCCACTCCCCTCCCTCTTCTCCGGTTTTGACGATGAGGCTACTGTTTGCTGCTCTTCCTTGTCGTCGCTCATGGGAATATCAGGAACTGTGATGTCCGTCGCCTTCTGAGCAACGCTACCCTTCAAGAAGGGCTTCTTGCGGACATCTACCGGCACACTGTCGTTCCAGACCAAGCTCAAAAGGACACTACGCGTGAGCTTGTAGTCGTGAATCAAGCGGTTTCCCGGGCTATCCTCGTCTTTGATGATGACCTTGCTGCCAGGTATGACCAGCCTGAAGGCCTGGGTGCTGTCAGCCATCACTGACCTGACGGCCCGGTAGAGGGTGGCACCAGTCGCTTCGTGTCCAAAGGTCCATTGCGCAGAGGTGTTGTCGGGAAACCGCACTTTCATCGGCACCTTATCTACGGCCGCGAGGCGAGCTTCCTCTGCTTGCCTGAGCGCTTCAAGTTCCTTGTCAGACAACAGCCGCTTGTTCTGCGCGCTTTGCTGAAGCCGGGCCTGGTGTAGTTGTGCGTGGGCAATCGTAGGTGCATAGTCGTCCTCTGGCACATCTGCCAGAGCTGCCGCAGGTGTCATTCCGCTCGGAGCACGGAAGACACTGACCGGCTGCAAAGGGTCTGCCGTATCTGGCTGATCGATGTCCATGGTTTCCGCTGTTGGTTCAGTCAGACCCGACGGTTCTTGCTCTGGCGGATCGCTGTTTGGTTGTTTCTCCAAGGTGTCTGCCCCTGGAGAAGGTTTGCTCTCATCTTCCGGGGCTGTAGCTTGAGGTGTCTTCTCGGCAATTACAGACTTCTCCGTTTCCTCCACAGTAGGCGACGTCTGGCCCGTCTTCTTGGTCTTCGCCTCGACTTCGTTGAAAAACTGACTGATCTGGCCCATGGCCTCGAACAAAGTCTGGCCCGTCTTCCTGAACGACAGCCGGATCAAGACGCTGCCGGAGTTATATCCAAGTTGCGAAAGGGTTTTCTGGAAGTCGTCAAACGTAGCCAGTTCGCGACCCATGATGTTGAGGACTGGCGTCTCATAGTACATCTGGCCGCTCCCGCTCGTGCCTCCGTCTGTTGTTTGTGCAACCCCTCTTGCTGTAATGTTGAGGTTATTCCCTTGACTGACAACGCCGCTCTCAAACTGGCGCAAGACCTTCCATATTGTGAAGTCGCTGGGGAGTTTCTCGATTAACCGGCCGTTTGGGGCTGCATTTGCTTCGGGAGCGGGCAGCTGGAGTGCAACGGACACGACAGAAGGTGTGTTGGATTTCTGTACGAGTTCGAGTTTGGCACCCGGAGTAAGGCCGCTCACTCTCCAGACGACGGACAGATCGACTTGCCTCTGCTTGTGTCCGTCGGGCTGTTAGATTTGCTGGCCAAAAGTGGCGGATGGAATGCAATCGTTCCAACTTACTTCAACATGTACTTATCGCTTGGCAAGTTGAGCTTCTTGCAGGCCTCTTGCAAAACATCTGTTAAGTAGGTGCCCGGGCTGACTTTGACGGTCGCCCTCCGCAAGTCCGTGCCGATTACGACCACGTGCGACATCTTGTTTGCAGAGATGCCGTAGGCCACGGTATGCGATTGCACTTGTCAGACTACTTATCTAGCTGTTCGCGGTTGACTTGCTGGTCGTTGTTCGGTGTGTGGTTTGGAATCGTGTTCGAATCGTGTTGTTGGCGGGGTTGAATGCTCGGCGGGGGCTGTTGCGCCAAGCTCGTGATGTATTAGTTTAGTGGAAGTTGGCGGAAGGACGAGGAAACTCGACAGCAACAACTCTCGAAGGATGTTCGGATGCTGAGTAACTAGATACTAGATTCAAGAAAGCTGAGTTAGACCACTGCTCCTTTTGTATCCCAGCGAAGGTCTGCGCAAGATGATGTGACTGATTCTTCCATTTGTGAGTAAAAGTTCAGGTCAAGCGCAGGTACGTAAGGCAGGCAAGGTACTCCGTCAGCGAAGGCAACTGGGGGACGTGCATCATCGCTCAGCACCCTCGTAGCAAGCTCGGTCCAATCAGCGAGCTCCAATCTGCTGTACGTGGATTTTCCGACCGCTTCGGCCGCGCCATGCGTGTTTGCCTTGCCCTGCAACAGCCAGAACCCAGCAAGAGCAGGCGGCAGCAGGTGCTACGCTACCTCAGCATTCCGATCCGGTCAACATCAATTGCAGCTACGCCCATCACGACCCGCCATCAACCACTTCGACGCAACACACGAGGCTAGTCCACGGCCAACCCCGCGATCCTCCCACGACGTAAATCTGGACGATAAATCTCCTTCGAACGTTACCCGAAGCATTATTCACCTAACCAGCGGTCCCTCGCTCCAGGAGCTAAGATGGTACGCCATCCCCCCTCCTCAGCCTCGAGGTGCAAACCCCCAGCTAACCAGGCCTCCAGAGCTCTCCGTTCTCTATCAGTTCGTCTCCCTCTGCCCCTCTCGAACCCCGAATGCATTCAGAGTCACGATCCTAACCAGAGCCTCTCTCTAGATGGCGGCGCCTGCGTCGCAATGGTCGGCAAGGACTGCGTCGCAATAGCCTGCGATCTCCGCCTCGGTCTTCAGGCCCTGACCGTTTCCAACAACTTTCCGAAGATCTTCCAGTACGGCGACGTCTTCCTGGGCCTCACAGGCCTCGCCACCGATGTCACGACCGTCGGCGACCTGTTCCGCTACAAGGTCAACATGTACCGCCTGCGCGAGGAGCGCAACATCGCTCCGACCACCTTCGCCAACCTCGTCAGCAGCTCCCTCTACGAGCGCCGCTTCGGCCCTTACTTCGTGTCTCCTGTCGTCGCTGGCCTTGATCCCAAGACGGGCAAGCCCTTCATCTGTGGCTTCGACTCCATCGGCTGCATCGACTTCGCCAAGGATTTCATCGTCTCCGGCACGGCGTCTGAACAACTCTTTGGCATGTGCGAGAGCTTATGGGAACCCGATCTGGTACGTGACAACGAATGACATGACAATATTTACCGGCAAGCTAATAGAGGCTTCCATGCAGGGCCCCGAGGAGTTGTTCGAAACCATCTCTCAATCACTCCTAAACGCGGTTGACCGAGACGCCTTATCCGGCTGGGGTGCACACGTGTACATTATTGAGAAGGACAAGGTCACCAAAAGACTGCTTAAGGGCAGACAAGACTAATTTTGACGACGAATGGTTTAGTGTGGACGGAGGGGGAGCTCGGTAGAACCGCCGCAAATAGACGGTTTCCAGCTTGTACCAATAGATGGAGATGATCCACTATGAGAGGGCACTCGAAGCCTGCATGAACTAGACAAATGACCTTTGATTTAACATCCTTTTGGTGATACTTTTTATGCCTTTATATCGGCTGCAACGGTCTATGAACAACGACACTGTATATGGATTGCGAGTGCTTCCACGGTACTAGGGATCTATGATCTAGCTTGGGCTGACCCTCTTGTCCATCTAATTCTGCTTCTTTAGCTTGGAGGACTCGACAGTCTTCTTCTGACTGAAGAACGATCTCTCAACGGCCTTGAGAACCTCGTCGATAAGGCTGTAATACAGTTAGCACTAGTTCGGAGCGCATGGATGGGTATCAACTTACACAACAGGGGCGCTGATGTACAGAACCGCCTTCCACTCGTTCCAGTTCAAGGGCAGAATGGAAAACAGGTTCTGGAGGAAGGGAGTGTAGAGGAGGGCGAAGTGAAGAGCCATGGAAAGGGTGATGGCGTAGACAAGTTTCATGTTGGCCCAGAGAGGTAGGGTCAGAAGAGACTCGCTGGAGGACAACGCGTTCATGGCGTTAAACATCTCAATGACGACCAGGATCGAGAGCGAAACTGTCGAGGCAGATTTGGCGGAGTTGTTGGAGAACATCTCACAGCCAATTTCCGGGAAGTCGGAGGAGCAACGGTGGAAGCGGGAGAGGTGGGAGAAGGTGATCTGAGGGCCCTCAGCGTTGTACATGAACCACCAAGCGTAGCCGGCGACAGTAGCAACACCAACATAGGTACCGATGATGAGATAACGGAGGAAGAGCCAGCCACCGATGAGAGGCTCGTCGCGCTTTCTGGGCTGACGCTTCATGATCTCGTGGTCAGGGGGGTTGAACGACAAGGCGGTAGCGGGAAGCCCATCAGTAACCAGGTTGACCCAGAGAAGCTGGACGGGGATCAATGCCTCGGGCATGCCAAGGGCGGCAGTGAGGAAAATGGAGACAACCTCGCCAATGTTGGAAGAGATGAGGTAACGAATGAACTGTTGGGTGTTGTTGTAGATGGAACGTCCCTCCTCAATCGCAACCTCGATCGTAGCGAAGTTGTCGTCAGCGAGCACCATGTCGGCGGCAAGTTTGGAGACGTCAGTACCGGAGCCCATGGCAACGCCAATATCGGCCTTCTTGAGAGCAGGCGCATCGTTGACACCGTCGCCAGTCATAGCCACAACCTCTCCTTGCTGCTGGAGTAGATCAACAAGCTTGGACTTGTGGCTAGGCTCGACACGGGAGAAGAGGGATGCGGTTTTGGCGGCCTCGATGGCCTCGCTTTCGCTGAGGTTCTCGAACTCTCTGCCAGTATAGCTCTTGCCCTTGAGGTCCTCGTATTCGTCAAAGACGCCAATCTGTCTGCAGATGCTCTCAGCAGTGTTGCGGTTGTCTCCAGTGATGACGATAACGCGGATTCCGGCGTCCTTGCACTTGCGGATAGAGGCCTTGACCTCTGGACGAGGGGGATCAAGCATGCCGACCAGTCCAAGGAAGGTCATATTCTGCTCAATCTGAGCGTACTGGGCTGTGGTCTTGGCTGACTTCAACAGAGGGCTTTCACCAATGTTATCGATGCTAGCAAGGGCAATGACACGAAGTCCGCGGTTGCCGTAGTCCACAATTTCCTTCGTAATCAACTCTGAGAGCTTGCTATTCAGAGGTTGGCGCTTGCCATCGGCACCAACAAGAGCGTGCGAGCATCGTTCAATGACAGACTCGGGAGCACCCTTCACGAGGAGTTTTTTCTCTTGGCCGTTCTGGACAAGAACAGACATACTCTTGCGATCTCTGGAGAATTCGAATGTAGACAGGCGGGGGAGTTGACTCTCATACTGAGCGCTGGCGTAGTGTACGCAGTCCTCGGGGTTGCTGCCAGAAGGCGCACAGGGTCCAAGTTTCTCGACCAAAACTCTCAGAGCGCCCTCAGTCGGCTCCCCAACGTTGGAGTAGGTGGCGCTCTGGGCATCATATGCGATCTTGGAGTCGTTGCAAACAGCAGCGACCTCGGTCATCTGGCGAACAGTAGAAGAGGAGCGGGTCAGATCGGTAACGGTCTCCCCTCTGAGAGAAATAGATCCCTTGGGAGCAAAAGTAGTGCCCTCAACATCAAGCTCGACGAGGCCGGAGCCGTTGTCGCTAAGGTAGACAAGCTTGCTGACGCTCATCTGGTTGGTAGTAAGGGTACCAGTCTTGTCCGAGCAGATCACGCTGCAGCTTCCCAAAGTTTCGACAGACGGCAAGCTTCGGACTACAGCGTTCTTTGCAGCCATCTTCCGCGTGCCAAGCGCCAAGCAGGTGGTGATGACAACAGCGAGGCCTTCAGGGATAGCGGCAACACCAAGCGAGACGGCAATCTTCAGGTAGTAGATGGCACCCTTGGTGAAGGATCCATGGCTGGGGTCACTGAAGTGGGGGATGTTGATAAGCCAGACCAGAATGCAAATAACCGTGATCACCTTGGCGAGGCTGTCACCGAAGTCATTGAGTTTCTGCTTGAGAGGAGTCGGCTCGGAGATCTGGGCGGTGATGCTTTCGTGAATGTCTCCAATAGCAGTTTGAGAACCGGTCAAGACTACGACAGCCTTGGCACGACCAGTGACAACAGTGGTTCCAGAGAACAGCATGTTGATCTGGTCCTGTAGGACGGCCTTTTCATCTTTGACGACATAGTCGCAGTCCTTGCCAACACTTTCACTCTCTCCAGTCAGAATAGCCTGGTCAACGTTGAAGCTGTTGCTCTCGATGGCAACCAGTCTGCAATCAGCAGGAATGCGATCGCCAATATGGACAGACACAATGTCGCCTGGCACGAGATCCTCAGCCTTGACACGGGAGACTTGACCGTTGCGGATGACGTTGGCCTCGTTGGCGGAGTACTCCTGCAGGGCGGCAATGGCTTTCTCGGCGCTGCTCTCTTGCGAGACACCGACAACGGCATTGAGGATCAGAATGGTCAGGATCTGGATTATCGGCACTGTTAGCCGGAGAAAGCCTTGGCAATGTGGGTATGTCGGCGTCGAGGATTACGTACCACCGCAGGGTCGACGAAAGCGCTCCAGCCTTCTTCATCATCAAACAGTGCGAGCACGAACGAAACGGCTGCGGATCCGAGGAGAATAATCACGAGCTGGTCCTTGAACTGCTCAAGAATAAGCTCCCAAATGGGCGTCGGGGGTTCTTCGGGGATGACTGTGGACAGGCTATCAGCACGGGTCTATCGCAGGTTTCGTGTCGCAAAGCTACTCACCATTCTTGCCATGCTTGGTCCGTGATGCAATGACTTGGTCGTCGGTCAGACCGGTGTTGGGATTCACTCCCAGAGTCGAGAGGACCTCCTCGGTGGGCGAGGCGAATGCGCTTTCCATCGCAAAAGTTGCGCTACGCGCGACGTGTCTTACCGAGGAACCGGCAGTATCCAGCTGAGCTTCAAAGGCCGTCGGGTTCTGTTGCTGGGAGAAAGGGATGGAACGGAGGTTACTCTTCAACAGTTATGGAAGAGGAAAGCAAAGATGGGATCCAAACCTGGTGAAAAGAAAGGTTTGGGATGTGAAAGAGAGAGGAGAGAAGGTGCTGGAAAGACTGCGATCAAAGAGACAGCATATCCTATTGCAGTCGTAGTGGGGCAAGAAGCTGAAATCGTCGCCGATGTCCCAAGTTTCCAATACGCTCTACGTGTTCGTTCAGTGGCCCAGGTTTGCCTAGCTTCCCCTTCAAGAACCTTTTTTTGGCTGTTAAGTAAAGAAACCGATTCTAGCCTAATATGGCTAGCGTCAGTGGGGGCACCTTGCAACAAGAAACAGGACTCCCAAGGTCCTAGCATCCACCTGTGCGTCCCTGGCCAAATTGGGGACGAGCCACTGCGGCCCTTAGGGAAGAAAACGTGGGGCAGAAGCCAATTAAAAAGGTCACACCCGAAGCCGATAGGTAATCCGGAGCGGCATGGTAGGGCAAAGTGGAAAGGGGAGGGAGAAAGACCTCTTGCCTCCGTGAGGACCTGACAACCCGGACATTGTGCCCCATGACAAATGATGATAACCACACGGTACGGTATCCGGCTAGGTATCTAGGTACCTACAAGGTTCTCGAGTAGCGATGGTCGCTGACATAATTGCTGAGTCACGTGATGGGCGAGAGATGTTCGATCCGATTGCTCCATGAGGCCCGTCTTTCCTGGACTGGGGCTAGTAGGGCCGCTCCGGGACCGCCCTCCTCGCTCGCGTCGAAACCGAGTCAGGATTGAGGAGCGAAGACGACGTACGGAGACGGAGGTCGGCCTGCAAGCGTTACACCGGCTGCGTGTTTTGCGTCAGACAGTCTGAAGCCATAGGATATTGAAGCAACTCACATCCATTCCAAAGTCTCGGGGGTTGCAAGGTTGCCTATGAGGCCTGCGCCGTTTGCTAACGCAAGAAATGAATTGAGACGTCGGAAAGCCATCGAAGCCTCGCCCAAATGTTGGCGGCGAGGCAAATGTCCGGTACAGCCATCTTAACGAGTAGGCTAGTGGGAAGAGTCCTTTGTCGCCCGTTCGCTACGCCACACAACAAGACATGGCGCTCATACATAGACTACGGGCCGCCACCGTACCTACCTAGGTACTTTCAGGTCTTTCTCCCCAGGTGCGGACGATACTATGTCACCCTAGGCTTGTATTGAGCTTCAAGGGAAGTCCGACTCGAGCAGTAGTTTCGTGTTCCGCCCCAACGTGTGGTACGATAACATCCAATTCGCATCTTCGACGCAAGATCCATAGATCGCAACCCAACAGCGATGCACTGGGGACGAAATTTCCTTGGTCGGGCAGACAGGCTGCACGACACAACTGTATCCTTTCCCACCGGTCTCTTGGTAGGTTCGCCAGGTGCGACCTTTCCACCGCAGGCCCGTACCACGCCGCTACTTCTCGTGAAAGAACCACATAAGGTAGCTTGATCGTCGTTGAGCCCGGCATGAAGTAGAAGGAGTCTTGGATATGCAGTCCCGGCTCCGCGGGTTGGTCAAGACTTTTCCATCGGCCAGTCGCCGCTTCCCTCGCTTTTCTACATGGAGGTGGTGCCTCACTTCCCCCGCTGCCACCTCTTTCTGCCCGTCCTTGGGTGATGAAAGAGCTTTTTCGCCTCGAATCTCTCCTTCCCCTCTTCGCTCTAGTAACACACGCTGGCGTTTCTTCCCGTCCCTTGACTAAGAGACCTCACGCCGGCGACATCCTCTTCAGGTTCAGTCCTTCGAATTCTTGCGCAGCTGGCAGTCCCAGCGCTTCTGCATCATTCATCTCTTGGTGTTGCTACCGTACATCATGTTTTGAATCCTCTTGGACCTGCTATTTGCTTCCTTTTTTTGGTGTCTTGGAACCCAGTCTTACCTCTTCTTTCTTGGGCTTCGATATGGCGTTGCCACCAGACTCTGCATCTCTTGGTTCCTGTTCCCGCTCCAGCTCTGTCCGAATCAACCGAAAGACAGGTTACGCCACCTCGAGTCCCCCGTCGCCCGGGTCACAGCACGATTCGATCAACTCTGATAGTGTGTTCGAAAATGTCGACCTTTCATCTGGTTTCGACGGTCTGCACATTGATGGTGTCGAGGTTTGGGACACTTTGAGCAGCATGGCTGCTTTTGGACTAGAGCCCAACAACGGCGATTCCTATGATGGTCTTGTGCCTTTCCCACAAATATCAGTTGACGATAGCGACAACGCTTCTGAGCTTTCGGACTCGGACATGCCGTCAAGACGAGGCCCCTTTCACAGATGGATGAGAAATCTTCACCAACGCGCCAAACAGCGGCCTCAGCCTATGAACACAGACACCGTTCTGCCCTGGAAACTCCTTGATTCCACTGATAGATCAGCCATTTCTCGGAGAACTCGCCACAGGAGGTCATCGTCAGGCTCGTCGTTTGGCTTCGTTGCGGCGGTGAAAAGTGCTAGTGTCAGTCTTGCTAGCGGCAGTTCTGTGACGCGCCCTAGGGGCAACAGCCGTCGCTCTTTGGCATATTCCAAGACGGATCGCAGCAGCAGAGCCTCGTTCACCGCCGCAAGATTTTCGGAAGACAGCTGTCACGTCGAATGGCCGGCAAACACTGATCCGTTGGCGACCGAACGTGCTTTGCAGCGCCGGCGCATCTTGGAGGAGCTCATAAGTACAGAGGAAGGTTACATCGGGGACATTCGTTTTCTTATGAATGTATGTTTCTAAAACGGACTGGTTGGTGGAGACGAGTGCTAAGAGGCGCAGGTTTACATCACGATTCTGGCTTCTTTGCCGACTCTGCCAATGGGACTCAGGTCTTCAATCAATCGCAATCTCACGGACATCGTCGAACTCCACGAAGAACTCTTGGGCGAGCTGCATCGAGTTGTGCCAGATTCAGAATACACGCAAATCGAAGTTCCTCCGTTGCTCAGCAAAACAGCGGGTCGTGGACATCAGCGACTGAGGAGTCTTGATTCCGTGCCGGAAGACAACGGGAGAGCCATAAGCTGGTTGCAAGAAGTGCCCGGGATGATTTCAGAGGCCCAGATCGCCGGTGACGTGGCCAAAGTCTTCAGCAGGAAGGTTAGGAGCCCCCACAATCTTTCTATCTGAGGATGGCAGCACTAACATCCCTATCAGATGAACCGCTTTTTTATCTACGAGGAGTATGGGGCCAAGTACGAGATGATGATCAAGGACGTCGCTTCAGCTCATCGGACCATGCCACAATGGGATACCTATCAACGAGGCATTGAAGCATTGGCCTCGTCATTGGGCCCTGCGAGTACTCACAACGACCAGTCAAAGAAGTCGCTGACTATTGGAGACCTACTTGTCAAGGTGAGCGGCATGCCATTGAGGTGAACCCTGTTGCTAACAAGTCCTCAGCCCATTCAGCGCATCTGCAAATACCCGCTCTTGTTTGCCGAACTATTGAAGTACACACCTGTCACAGATTGCCCAAATTCTCACATGGAAGTTGAAAGCGCCCTTCTCCGCTTGCGAGAGGCGACGGCAGAGATCAACCGGGCAACGAGCGACAGGCGAATGAAATCCACCTTGGAAAAGACTTGGATTCTTCAGGATCGTCTTGTTTTCCCCGAGCAAGTACGTTGAAACTTGAACCAGTCCGAGTGGCTGTGGCTAATCAGCGAGGAAGAAACTTGATGCAGCATCAAAGAACCGAATCAGATCGTTTGGTCATGTCGAGCTTTGTGGCGCGCTACACATTTGCTGGCAAACCAAAGAAGGCGTTCAGGGGCAGTACATGATTTGTCTTCTATACCACAAAGTTTTGTGTTTGGCCTCGGCAAGCAAAGTCGACCAGATTTACACCATTCAAGCGTGCATCAACCTGGACAGCATCAAGATTGAGGAAACGGACAATGGACGAGGTACGAAGCAGAATCCCGGCCACGCCCAGTGTTGCCAAACTAACTTTGCGAAAGGACTTCAATGCCACACGGCTCCATTTTCGTGGAAACTTGTGTTTGAATGCAATTCCCAATTGTACGAGCTTTTGATGACTGCTTGCTCGCCCAGGGAACTGGAGGAATGGCGAAGCCGGCTATCGAATCCCGCCAGGGGAGACCAGAATCAAACTGACCCTAACCTGTACAGCTCAATGTCCTTGAGTATGAAGAGCCTTGGAACAATATTTAGAAAACCAGGTGTGTTTCCACAGCCAGACAATGGCCACTCTGTGTCACTAACAGTCTGTTCAGGCACTGTTGCTCGTCGGATCTCTATCCATCGCGCCACGACGGTTGGCCCAAAGTCTCCGTTGTGTCAACTCATCCTGAAAAACACGAGCGTTGTACGAGATAACTCGGAATCTGCACCGAACCCATCCATCAACCGATCACAGTCATTGCTGACAACAAACCCCCGGATCCCGATTCTTGCTCCACCACGGGGCGAAAGAGCTCGGCTAGAAGCCCTTATGTCTGATATCTGGAGTCGAGACATACTTCCGTTTCCGGGTATGACTGGTAGATCTCGCAGTGAGCATCTTGTCCGAAGCTCAGCAAGCACAATGATGCGCAAACTCAGTGTCGCGAGCATCGCCAGCTCTTTTGCAAAGAGATCCAACAGCGTGGCCAGCCTCGGAAAACTTGTCGTCGAGGACGATCCGGGCGATAAAGAAGGCGCGGATCACGGACATCCCTCAAAGATCTATAGAGCTGAGAGTTCCAATCCGGAGCACGGTCCTGATGACGAAGTTGATGAAACAACAAGGCCCCGTTTGCCCAAAATCGACGACGATATCGAGGTTACCAATACAGTTAGCGCTCCAGCAACCCCAATGCTAGCTCAGTCCAATATCATTGTGCATGCCGACCCGGTCGAGCAGCTTCGATCTGGATACAGCGGTTTTCTACTCGGCGATGTATGGCCGTCGAAGCCAACCGTGTTACGGGCCGCATCGGGGAACAATTTACCCCGAGTTCGTCGAGACTCAATCACCCCGAAAACATCGCCTTGCCCATCCGATAGAGGTGAAAAAGACAGCCAAAGCAGGGCGTTCAAGGCGCCCAAACTCTCCCACAAAGCATCAATGCGGTGGGGCAAGGTTGGCACATTGAACAGAGACGACTTGGTGCAGGGCATCAGGAGTTTCTTTCGGTAAGTGCGAACATAGGTTTTTACAATGTAATGGATGAGAAGAGCTACAATGGAATAAGGCCTGGGCTCGAGAAGTAAAGGAAGTAGAGATACTACTTTCGCCGTATGCTCGCCCTTGGCTACCTTAATTCAGGGCCACATACGGGGGAGGGTCGCGTCAATAGCTATCCTAGTTCAGATTGTGTGTTGATCATCAAGATGATGATAGTATAATGATACCCCCAACTTGGATTACAATGATGCCCGCCTGGGACTTATGATGTCAGTGAGGTTGTCGTGAGGTATTTGTTAAAGTGGCCTGACAGTCGTTAGCAATGCCTCGCTCGCGGAGGTCCGCCTCCATGTTTGTTTGGAGCTGTGAGGGTGCTCACTTCCGGCCCCACCCAAAGCATGCTACAATAGCCAGTGAGACGGCTTGTATCGAGGTACCTCGGAGTAGGGCGGTGCGGCAGTGGAGGGGGATGTGTCCAAGCGACCGCTTCCTCAACCATCTGGATCATTCCAATCGCAACGTGTGAATACCCCTTTGGTCCAAAAAAATCTTGGTCTGGATTAGCAGTGACGTACTACACAGGTTCGATGCAGGAACGCTCAGAGTTCCCGGTACCTAATGGCTACTTACCTGGGCGAGCTGGACGATGCACGGAGCACAATATGCCCCGCTCCCTCCCTGGGCAAGCTCCAAATGGCGGGGCAGTGATGAAAGGACAATCGCGTGTTCTCGCACCTATGACGTAGCTTCCGAATCACGAGCTTCCCAGCTGGGGAAGCTCCCCTCTCAGGTCGTGCTCATATCATATTAAAAGGCCTGGAGGTAAGCTCCTTCCCAACCTTTGCTCACTTTTCAATCAATCAATCAATCAAGCAAGCAAGCAACGAAATAAACCTTCCAAGATACCCCGACGACTCTCGTCTTCCACGTACAACCACCAGCAAACTACAAGAACTCCATCGGAGCTCATCAATCATCCCGCACCACCAATCACCAATACATCATCAAATCAACCGCCAAAATGGTTCGCGGAGAGGCCCACCAGACCAAGGTCCACTACAAGGGCCAGGAGGACGACTTCATCGTCTTCGTTGAGGATGCCGAGCTGTTCAAGAAGTGGAAGACGGACAAGTCTATCCCTTTGGCCCACTTCATCTCCTCCTACAAGATCTTCGTCACGCACAAGTAAGTCATTGGGTTGGATTACCCCTCATTTCACCTCCACAGTGTGATTTATCGGTCCCGATGAGCCCATTCGGCACGCACGATGTTGTCAATCCAGCTGCTCTATCAAACGTACATATCGTTGGCTTTTCCTGTTCCGTTTGAATGGGGCTCGGATCGATGGAAACTTTTAAGGACCTGCATCACCTCCATACATTTTCATCGGCTAATCCATATGACCAGGCAAGGCAACCAGGGCACCTACGACGCGGCCTCTAAGTCCACGTTGGAGAACGAGTTTGGTACCAGCGTTGACGACAAGGTGATCATCCAGATCCTTGAGAAGGGCGATGCGCAGAACACTGAGGTGAGCTCCCCCCATGTTCTAACACCCTGTGACCTCCGTCATTGACGATGCATTGTGTTAGTTCCCCGAACGTCAAGGAAACAAGAACGATTCTCAGGGCCCTTTGATTGCCCACTAAGGGGGGTAATTAGTCTTAATTACACGGTGGTCACCAGACTGGTGGCACTTGACGAGCGTAAGGGCTTATGAGGCTTTATGAAGTTTTGGCAGTGTTGTGCGGCAACGACAGCGCGAGGAATGGCACGGTCATGTGCCATAACATTGCTATCTCGGCATGGGAACATGCGAAAGCAATATGAAGCGCGTCTCCAGTAACACCCTTATATGCAATGGAGGACGATGAGTAAGGTGCAGGAACCTTCCAAAAATCATCTCCTTCGAGCCCGATCAGGGTTCAACATCGACGCCCGCAACGAACATGGGGGTCTTTAGCATGGGTGGGTTCTTCTATCTAGTAGATAGCAGAACATGAACACATGACTTCTTACATATCTTGTTTCTACCTCCATGACAGTCTGATGGTAGATGTAGGGAATTAATGAGGTTCCGGCCAAATCGTTCCGTACGACCCGAACGCTTGGCATGGGCGGGTTCCTCACGATGTCTCCCCAACAGTAAAGCTTCTCTCCACCTGTGAGAGCAGGGGATTTACTACCAGTGGCTTGGTTAGGAATATTAGGGAGAAAATCATATACCCCAGTCAATATAAAGGTTGTATTAAGCACAGCTTTAATTTGCGAAGGGCTGGCAAAGGCGGGGCCCATCAATGGGTTCGTGATGTTGCGCCCGTTTCTGAAGTGTTTCGGGGGTTGCATGCTGCTGCGCGGAGTCACCGACACGGCCCCTTGCCCGTCCGCACTCCCCTTTTTGCCTATAGGCCTCATACACACACTGGTGCACCGCCCATACGTTCTGCAGCGCTTTTTGTATTTTTTTTCTGCTTCTCTCATGGGACCCTTCCCTGGTCGGTCGCTCGTTCGGAGATGTTGCCGAATGGGCACACCCGGTCACGCAGACGCATACGCACGCACACCAGTACCTACCTCGAAGATGGAGGTGGGGACGGATAGGAGAGAACTGACCAGCGCTCGCGGCAGCGTCGACGCAGGAGGACGAGCTTGACAGCCAAACTCTGTTTTCTTATCATCTTTCCTTCTCCCTCGGTGTGCTGCAGCAGCCAACAGGGCCTGCAAGGGGCTGGACCCGAGACAGAGTGTAAACGTCCGGAGGGGGGGACGCCGTAGCGAACCTGCCTTATTCGGTTTGAAAAGGTTACCTGCTTTTTCGGATTCGGTTGTCGAACAGGAGAGAATTTCGCAGGGGGGGAGAGATTGGACCTGATGGCGAAAGTTCAGCACGGTGATGGGGCTTACAATTCAATTCAGTCACGCATAGAATACGAAAATGTACCAGTTGGGTCATCCTTTTTTTTGGTGTTCGATTCTTTGGGTCTTGACATTAGGTGTAGCATTTCGTGCGCTGGTCTTCCGAGACAGATGCCACACGTTTTCTCTTGACAGCATCGTTTTCGCTATTCCGGGCAGACTTGGTCGTCTGTCTCTCGACCCGTTTTTCCATCCTGAAATCGGACTGTACACCGAGCGTTGTGGCGCCGGGCTTCGGGATGATACACTGTGCCCTCCCAAGAGGTGGGACGCGGCGTGCCTTGCCCCATGCAGAGCGCGACGTCAAGGATGACTCCTGTCGCCACTCTCGTTCCTGACCCTCCCGTGCCCAGCCCATACACGCATGCGCCCTCCCGCGACAGCAACGTCAACCCATGATAGAGTGCGTCCATGATCGACCGGGACGAAACGCGGACAGGCTATCGATCATCACCCGAACCCATACACACCACACACCACCACAGATGCCCGGACAAGAGTATGCACACACTTGGATGACTTGAGGGGAAAATAGCGCTGGGAAATGGAAGACTTTCTTGCGGCCTTTTCCGATTCGGTTTCGGTCGAGAGTGCAGAAGAAGAAATTGATGAACGATATGTCGTCCGAAATAACGCCGATGCTAGATGCCGTGATATCGAGTAGGATAGATCGTTAAAAAAACATGTATAAGAAAATAGGGTTGATATATATATGTTGCTCAGAGAACGAACGATAAGGTTTCGTCGATTCATCCGAGGTTGCTTGGGTGGAGGGCGGTGGCTGGTTGACTTTGAGTACACGGCGGCCCCTTCTGCCAGGTCATAATACCATGCGAGTTTGAGGCGCTTGTATACGGCGAGCTGGTAAACCAAGTAAAAAAACGTTTAGACGCGACCGCCGCTGCGGCCTCTTTGAGGAAGTGTCCACGGCTTAGCACAGATAATCTGAGTATTGGGTTAGTAAAAGGCCCAAGGAAATAGTAAGTTGGGAGAGTGAGGCTACGTACCTCTCCTTCGCTGTAAGCCCAGAAGTAGACGATCAGACCAACAACGTAGTAGATAGCCGAGTTGGTGCCCTGGTAGATGAGAGCGGAGGCGAGAGAAGTGAGAGGGAGAATGATGAGGCGAAACTCCAGACTGCGGTGAACTGCCGAGCCGGCGAGGAACACCAGAGGCCACTCCAGAGCCACCATGAACAGAGCCATGATCAGGTTTATAATCTGCAACACTGGCACGGGCTTGACCGCCGGGTCCAAGGACTTTGTCAAAAAGTCCCAGAAGATCTTGGGATAGAAGAAGCCCTCTACGGCGGCGGCAAGTTGGTCTGTTGGCATGTGGTTAGCACCGCTGCTTGTACCCTTTTGTGATGGTTTTCTCGACTTACAAACTGCGGCACTTATAACAATAAGGCGAGCCCAGTGGTTCTTAATAAGACGACCCATGGTTATCGATTATGTATTGGCAACGAGTCTCCCTTGAAGTCTTGTCGTTTATCTTTCTGATTGCTCAGTATTGTCGAGATATTTCGATCCTTGCGTTTTGCGTGTTGGTGACGAAGCCTGTCGACGGTGATGCCACGAGTCTAATGTGCCCTTGTGTCTTATCCCAAAAACCTGGATACAGCGAATGAAAGTAAGGAAGGGGGCGGTCGTGGAGATCGGATCCTCTTGCGAATGTAACGGGTATGGGGATGGAAAAGGCGACTCAGTCGGAGGTAAACCGTGCAACGGCGGAAGGAAGGGAAGAGGTACCGGACCTGCGGAGTGAAGGAAGAAGTGAAAGGCGTTTCGAAGCGAAGATGTCGATATTAAAAGAAGGATATCGACAGGCTAGTGCACAGCGCTGACGAGAAAAGAAGAGAAGATCAAGAGAAGAGATAATAAGTGTCAACTGAACACAAGGCGGGAAGGACGACTCTATATTGAGACGAGAGCCGGGGTGGGTGTGACAAAGTCAAGCAGGAGAACCGGCCAGGGGGTTAGTGTTGGGAGGTGGAGGAAGGTGTGGATGCAGGCGTGTCCAGCCCAGAGGGCAAGACTCCGAGCCGCACAGAATGCTGGATGAGGCTTGTATCAGAGTTGGGCCCCCAGGCTAGGTAGGCAGCTTGTTGAACAGGGAACAGTGTCGGGGGCGTTTCTGGCTCGATAGCGGAGTAAGTTCTCTAGAGATCCACGTTCGAGCAATCTGATCTATGATGACAGCAGGCATCCGAGCGACATTGAGACGTTTCTGGTTGTACAGGGGGGCTGTTTTGGTTCTGCTATGGACCAGCCCGGCAGGAGCAAGAAACGAGGCCGGGGGGGCTGGCTGGCTTGGGTCGGCCAAGTCGCTGTGCAAGTGACGATGTATGATGTTCGTGGGTATTGTGGGATGCGAAGCCCAATGCGCTGAGGCTCTGTGTGAGAAAGAATCCCCCCCCCCCCTAGTTGCCGGGAAGCCGTTGTGTACGGGGTGTGAGGCAGAGGTCGGGACGGTGAAGCGTTGTGGTGGAGTGTGTTGTACGTGATGTTCGTCAGGGGTCTGTGCTTTATCGACCCCGTCGCATGAAGGCTGTTTGAAGATCAGACAAGACAGTTGCCAGGGACACTTGTGAGGCAAGGAGGTGGAAGAGGAACAGGAAACGGCTGCTGGCCGCATTCGCGAAAGATGGAGGCAGACGAGTTTTAAGAAACGTCAGCCCATGGGAGGGCCGGGGTTGTCGAGCGTGCTGAGTGACATCTTGTCCATCTGGGCGGGATTGCATGCAAGCAAGAAGTGCAGCGTGCAGAAAGTGGGCGGCATCATACGTCTATGCTGCGATGTCGCGGCGTAAGCGCTACCCGTCCACCCTCTATCCAGCCACGGCCGAGACCGCCCATTATCTTACTCGGGAGCCAGTCGAAGCCGTCACCCATGTATTCTGGGAGGGTGACTAGGCGCTGGGAGCGGACTCCAGTCATCACTTGACTGCAAGAATGGGGGTATACGTGGGTGAGGGATGTAGGTCGGCGGGTACGGATGCAAGCAAAGCCGGGATGTAGACCTGGTGGGAGGACAATGCGGAAGAGGCGATACCGGTATCGTTAGCTGCAAGCAATATAGCATAGTACCTACGCGAGAGGGAGTAACTGTCGACAGAAAGGCGATACAAGCATCAGTGGTTAATGGGTAGAGGTGATTGGACTTGCACGCAAAATGCGTGGGCGGTTAGAGAAGGAGCTTGAACCAATGGGAACTCTTCTCTTTCACCGTTGGCAGGCGAGGTGTGGGTCTTCCCCTGCTGCCAAGGGTCCAGGGGCGAGCTTAGGGGCCGTCTGGTCAACCGTCAGTCTTCAGATCATCGCATGCCAGCATCTAGCACCCGGCTTCAGAAGGGACCGCGCAGTGACCTTGTGACCACCCTTGCTTTGGCCGCACGAGCAAGTACCCCTTCTGTCGCCCTGGGCTTCCATTTTGCACCTTGTCATCGCCTGAACAGAAGGGGAGGGGGCGGCTCAAAACGCCTCACCTACCACGGTAGCATCGACCAGGCCCTGTAAGACACCAGCCTCTAGCGATCGTGTGTGCAAAATTGCTCTTCCATCCGCCCACTTTTAGAGGAGAAGGAGGCCGATTACCTACGGACGAGCGGTCGATTTAATTAATATAAACTACCTAGCTCCAGCCATTTCGGCAAATGAGAGCGCAGAGAATTCTACGATACAGGCAGGCAATTGGGGAAACGTCAAGAAATTTTGTGTAAACCAAGCCAGTATCCGTATCCGTACAAATAAACAATTACCCGCCATTGCCTGTTATCTGGGCCGAGTGGGAACTTTGAATGATTGACCCCCTGAAGAGGCAGTCCTCTTACAGCAGGACGATACCGTTGTACGAACCCCTCTTTTCTTCTACATCATCCGCACCTCCTACATACACATCTCCCGTGTTGCACGAACTCAATCGATATTCCAGATGGCGTCAAGTGCCTACTACTAGGGAGAAGTCGACAGAGCGCAGGCAACCCCCGCCCTCCAGATCTGTAGCCTGGATGTGATCTGTAGCCCTTCTCTAATTGCGAGTTCATGCCATCTGATCCTCCAAAACTCTGAGACGGCTGATCAAAGCAACAAAACCTCCTCCGACGGACCCAGGTTCCAGAATGGCTGTGTTGAGGCACAGGGGGTTTGAGAAGTTGGGACGGCTGCTCTGTTGCCCGGTCGCAGCCCCTGCGGTCTCGTCCGTCGCAACACCCCTGTTCCTTGTCGTCCATTTACTTTCGACCACTCACAACATGGGCACGCTTGTCGACCGAGCCCGAAGCGGAAGGCCCACCTGGGATAGCAGGTTAAAGGGTGACGCTGACCCCGGCCCCGTTGTCCCAAAAGAGCACCCCACCCAGGTTGGAGACTGCTATGCCACATGCAAGATATTGACATGGACCGGAATTTTCTGTCAGTTTCCCCTGTATTCGTATCGCTCTTTGGGTCGGTCGTCTTGTTCTCCGCCACATGGACAGCGAACACGACAGTCATCGGAGAACATTCTGTCGCATTGTAGCCTCGTTGCGTTTATTGGCCAGCCGATCCGAGGCACCATGCCTGCCATGTCTTGCTGCTGGCTCCGGTACACTCGCTACCACAGACGTGGTGAAGCCGTAGACCACAACCGAACCACAGCGGTGATGCTTTACCCGGCAGACTTTGGAGCCGCATGAACACCAACCTTCCAGCGGTCGTTGTCTCATCCCACGAGCCACATTCCCCACCCCAGTCCGAGTTTTTGGGCTGAATAACCTATAACTGAGACAATGAGGATGAACGCTGCACTTCACGCAGAGAACAGACCGCTAAGGAAACAGTGGCGTTGCCATCAAAGCTACCGAGCGATCCATGTCGACAGAACCTTAAAAATGGGCTGGGGAAGGGGATCACCTTGCTGCCACCAATTACCAGCGACAACTCTGCTTGTCTTGGCTGGATGGCTCACCCCGTCCACCGCGCAACAAGGCCGAGCGTTGGCCAATCTTCAGATGAGCCCTTGGGGGTTTTATAGTCGTTACCCCCCCAAAAAGCGCCATGTGTTCTGGCTGGCATCGTCAGCTTTCTGCGACAATTGTCCAAGTGTTGTTGGTGACAGCTGCGATCCATACTTTTGAGGCTGAGGCATAGCGCGAAGAGTTTCCATACACACACACATATACTAGTGCCCACGCAAAAAAAGAAAGACAAAAAGAAAAAGACAAAAGTGCCCTTTCCCCTCACCTTGGCCGTCTGTGAGATCAGCCTCCCGTCGTCAGATATGCACCAGGCGGTCCCTCGGTGTCTACGTGGGCATGCATCTTTGTGTCACCTACGTCTCCAGAAATGCATTGGTGGACGTGCCCTTGAGACGAGAACGGTGGTGGACTGACTGCACTACTCTGGCTTCGTGCCTGATCCAGCCCCATCACGGCTGGTGTAGGTTGCGACGTTGAATCGATAGTCTCTGGCCAAGAACCTCAATGGATGGCGAAACCGATGCAGACCGAGATCAGCTCGGCAGAACGAGGCTGGGTGGGCTGGCAGGGTCTTAATTGATTCTTGTCAATTGGCCGTCTGCACTCTCACTCACTGCTTGGGTGAGCTGCATCACATCCCACTCATCCGTTCTCTGCATCGCAATGCTGCAAGATGGACGCTAAAAATAACACTGAGGAGAGGGGAAAACACCAGCAGTGTGTTCAACTCTATTTTGGCGGGCGGCTCTGTGTTGCTGCTCATTGGTTCCCTGTCGCAGGATCCACACGGCCCCAGCCCACCCTCTCGGTGCGTCTGGCCAACCAGCAAAGCGGCTGCATCCTGTTGTAGGAGCCGTCGTCACTTGTGCTACTGCAACCGCCGAGCAGTAATCACAGCATCGTTGAATTCATATAGTGCCGACTTCACATCTGGGCCTCGAGGAGCGGTCTGCATTTTTCACATCCGCCATTGATCGCCCTGGGCACATTCGGACCCTACGCCCGTAATAGTTCCCCAGCAAAGCGGGTTCTTTCCTCGGTAGTGTATGGTGAACACTAGCAAGGCCTGTATATGCATGCGATGCAAGGCGGTTCCCTCCCCCCATCAAGGACCGAAAGTTGCCCTCACCGACATCGTCACAAGGGTTGCTCCGCGCGGGTGTGACGGCAAGCTGTACTCGCTTGTAGTGTTTGAAGACCGCCAAGACTTCGACTTTTACCGCCGTTGCTCACACGGCAAGTCTGGGGCCGCTCTGGGGCGGACGTCCAGAAGTTCGGTTGTCAGATAAGCATGTCGTGCGGCGTCCGATCTCGAGCAGGCGTTTGAGTGATATCACGACGGATATAGCACAACCTGGGCGCAATACGGGTGCAATTTGGACGTAATATGGGACTGCCCGGCGCCTCGCCCTTGGTCGCGCAACTTCAGGGTCTCGCCTAGTGCAAGGTGCGGAATCCCGGTAAAGGATTGTGCTTGTGGCTCATGGCCTCCGCTGCACGACTCGACAGTCGCCATGGAAGGGGTTGCAAAAATTGGCGTGCCTGTGTCAGGTCGCTCCGCTATTTTCCCTAGGGCTTCTTGGAAAATAAGTTATAACTAGAAAATCAGAAAACGACATCCTTGGAAGCAAACCCCTACCCAGGGGAAATGCCCACTCGTGGGATCGTCGGCACTGCGGCAACTCGGGCGAGGATATGGCAGCCAAGGAAACTTGTAGAGTCTTTAGACGCAGAGTTGGGGGAGGACGGTTGTGGTCCCCGGATAGCAAGAAGACGAGTGCCAAGTCGACACTGAGCCGATGGCACGATCATCGCGTGTTGAGTACTAGGCATGGTGCTCACGCTATGTTTTCCTGCCACGTTTTCGTGTATGATCACGTGTACCGATGCGGCACTGCGAGGGACCGCCCTGACTGCGTATTTCAGTTCGAGAGGCACGACAAGGGCCAGCGCTTCCAACGGAAGTCGCATCAACCGAGCGCCAAGACCGTTTAAACTACTGATCGTCCTCATGGACTCTTGGTCGACGTCTAGCCTGAGCCTTCCCTCTGATCGAAACGCGCGCTGCTGCGTATTTCTCAAAAAGCCGCCGGATGATGGCCAAGAAAAATGCCACTGGGACCCAAGGTTGGCCCAACTCGTGATCTACACGGCAGCACGGGTATTGGGCACAGCCGGTATGTGGGCGAAGCATTTGGCTGAGATCTGGCGTGTGACGCCTGTCACTTTCCCGAACACAAACGCATCATCTTTTTTCGTGGTCTAGTCGCTAGCACTGTAGAAGCAGCAATCGCACACAATGAGGCTGTATAGCATAGGGCACAGATGTCATATGCACGCCATCGTGCGCACGTCCCTGAGCTTTTTCATCCCAACATTCGTGAGACGGCGTGTCAAGATCTGGCAGCTGTTCCAGACGCCTCTTCCGCGGCTGTTATTGACAAAAATGGCTGTTCTGAGTGAGACTCGAACGACATATCATACCACGAGTTTTGCCAACGCTTCCACCCCCCATCCCATCCCATTACCTTTTTACCCAGCAGGCTGGCTAACGTGGCTAGTCAAGACTATCAAAGCCTTGTTCCATATTTCGTCTACTATCCCCTTAGCCCCCACCCACCGCTCGTCAAGATAGTATCGCCGCCCAGCCATCAACCCCCTTTTCTCGTCTCATGTCTTCCCTGCCGCTGCATATGGAACACAGCCTCTCCGTATTCCTTTCCCCATCGCCCTCCCCCCAACCATGGTCCCCCTACCACGGTTCCCCTCTGTGGACTCAGCCAGCTCGTATTGGCCACTGTCGTTCCTTGCAGGAGAACAAGAAGCCGCCTATCCGGCGCTGCATCACGATCTCCCCAGCTTTTCACAGTACTAGGCATCGATGGAAGCCCCTTCCCTCTTGGACTTCCTTGCTTATTCCTGTTCAAGCGAAGACTGGTCTCTCTTGTGCCAGAAACGTGAGAACTCGGGTTCCCTCTGCCGGCCCAAGTAGATCCAGGATCTGCGCTCTCCCCTGGTCCGTCGCAGCAAGAACGGCCACTTCACACGGTGATCGCCCTAATTCACTGAGAAGGTTTGCTGCGTGCTCCGAAAGGGGGCCGCTGCCGCTACTCATGTGCTGGAGGAGGGAGATGGGGGCGACTTGGGCTGGAGAGTCGGTGGGCTGTGTGGTGGCGGGGACGGTTTGAAGGTTGGCGAGGGTGGATGGGAGGGCTGCCACAGAGGCTAAAGGGACCAGAGGGAGCTCGAGCTTGTTGAGAATTCTTTAAAGCGACGTCTCGTCAGCCATATAAGCACAAACACTCACACAGAAAGACCGAGTGCTTACTCGATCTGTAGGGCCATGAAGGCCTCCGTCGGGTTCGTGCCTCGTCCTTGCTGGTCGAGGAGAAAGACGACCACCGCGTCGCGGCCTCCGTCGAGGTTGAAGAGGCGCTCCATGCGCTCCTCCGTAGCTGCCGTCCCGACGTCCTTTGGCGAGAGGAGGACCAGGCGGAGGAAGCGGCCCTGCTGCTGCTGCTGCGGGAGGGGGAGCGCGATGTCGTGCGTGCTCAACCTGCTCTCTGTCGCCTTCGTCAGCGAGTGACTCCGGCTTAGCGAAGTTCGGCATTCTGTCTACCTTGGAGTCGGGGCGTGCTGCCGGCCAGGAGGGGAATCGCCGGTGTCCATTCCGGACGCTTGCGGAGGGAAGAACAGAACATAGCCTTGTTGATGCAGAGTTCGCAAGCGGGTATCACGGGATGCAGTGTGGCTGGCCTGGCTGTGAGCTTTCAAGCAGCTCGTCTCCGGGGGTTTTCCCACCGAAGATGGCATGAATTTCTATGTGAGGTGAGTCAAGTATGTAAGTGTCGGCAGGCGCTGTCTATCTTGCCCCTGCCTTTTCCGTTCTTCCCAAGAGTGAGGTGCCTTCCATGTCTAAGATGCCCGCCCATAACGTTACACGCGCCATACTGGGCGTAGCAGATAATGCCTCTCGCCCGCTAAATGGTATCATGAAAATAAGAACTCCTGTATAAGAAATCCACGCCTTTTGTCCAGCCAACTCCTGGCACATCCGCCCGAAAAGCCTTATGCCGCCGTGGACGCTGGAGACTGCGACTGCGTCGGCAGCTGCAGGTCCGACAGCAGCGGCTTCTTGGTCTTGGGGTCCCTCAGGTCGCGCAGCGCGGCCTCCATGGCAAGGTACCGCTGAGAGCGCTCGTCTTCGCGCTGGGCGAGCTCACGCTCGCGGCGCGTCAGCTCCTCGAGCTTCTCGTCGAGGACGCGGATGCGCTCGGCATTCTGGTCGGGTTTCTGCGACGCCTTCCAATATTCGTAGACGATGATGGCACTCGCAACACCGAGGATGAAGGCGTCCCCGATGACGTCGGCGAAGAGGTCGACGGCCTTGTTCTCGGGGAGGGGGCGGAACTTGCGGCGCCAGACGCTCTTGGGCTTTTCTTTCGTTGAGCTACCAGTGGTGCTGGAGCTGCTGGCGGTGCTACCGCTTTCTGAAATCGAGGACGAGCTCGACGAGCTGGGCGACGAAGACTCCGACGACGCCGTGGGCACGAGCGGTTTCCGTTTCGCGGCGTCAGAGTTCGCTTGCCGCGCCTTGGCCGCCTCCTCCTTTTCGACCTGCTCTTTTGTCTTGACCGTCGGGGCCTCTGTCTTTTCCCTCGCGCGCTGCTCGGCGTCCGGATTCCGGAGGAGGGCGACGTTAAGACGCATGTTGAGCTGGTGGATGGACTGTCCATAGCGGGCGGCGAAGGCGCGGAACTTGGGGTGCTCGTGGGCTTGCGCTTTTATTCGGTTCTGTAGGCGGTTAGATATTTCCCATGACGGCCCCGGGAGAACTGGGTGACTGAGGTTTCCAACTTACGGCGCCATACTTGGACACATGCCGCACGAAGAGCGCGGCGAGCTTGAAAAGAGGTAGTGGTACCATGGTGGGGTTTTTTTCGAGGGTCGATCGAGTGACGGAAGCGCCGTTGGTCAGGAGAGCTCCGGAAGCTCCGTGCTACGGCACTGCTTGGCTTGGTCTTGGCGGCGTTGCTTCCTGTCAATTGGGACAGCAGATACTCATGGACTACGGGCAATTCAGTGTTGAAGAAGAGATTAGTGATATGTACAGCGATGTCTACTATTGCAAGTCGGTCGGGTTTATCGGAGCTACGGTAAGCAGCGGACGTCTAATGCTTGGAATGGATCTCCCACCGCCCCGCGGTGGAAGTGCACGGAACACGCTTCTTTGATGTTCCGCTTCTTTGGGCTTCGGAGCCGATTCTAGCAGGCCCCGGCTCGCTGACTGAGCCTCGGTGTCCAAGATTGCAATTGGGGCTGCCTGTAAGCATGAACAGGACAGCCAGGTTTCGTTTCGATATGAAACTCACTCCTGGTCGAGGCTAATAATATCGCGAATCTTCAAGCTGTAGGCGGGGAAGGACTGAATGACCCTACTTGCATGTTGAAATGATGCGTAGCACGATACCCTCAGAGGAGCACCTGCTTGTTGATCAACTCTCTTGTCCCGGTCTGCTTAGCTAAGCCGGTAACATACGAGCAAGAGGCCAATTGCGGAGCAGCATCGGCGGACTTTAGTGGCTCCCCAGTACGAGACTGTAACCAGCCAGTTTCGCAGTTCCCCAGGCAACGGCACGCGAAGCGAAGGTCAACAGCAACGACACACTAACCAGGCCCCTTCACTCCACCCCCATCACCAAAAGTTTACCACTCCGTCTCAACGGCGCATCATCCCGACAACTCTGAATCTCCTCGGTGAGTTTCTTCTGCGACGTCCGCGTCTCGTCAGCAGCCACTTGTCAATTGCCTGCCGGCTTCTTTCAGGGCGTCTTGTTTTTTTTTCCCCCGCGCATGATCTGTTCCTGAGTCGGGTGAGTAAACAAATCATACCCCGGCTTGTTGCTGTTTGTCCTGTCCGCTAGGCTGTGGCCACTTGCGCTAGATGGGTTAAACAACAATTGGACTACGCTTTGTCTGCCTTCTCCCAATTCTCTTCAATAGTGCATACCCATATCCATCATTTCCCAACCACCCTATCCCATGTACTGACGATTGCGCGCAACAGGCCCTCCCTCTCCACAACCCAGGGCCGATCTTGATTTTGCAGTACTGTCTTCTTCGTCTTCGAGAGCCGCCGTCCTCTCGGGATAACACTTATTTCCAAGGGCAGCGAGGCCACAGTCATGGCCCATAGGTTGGTGGCGAAAACGGGTGTTGATTTGGAGGCTTTGTCGCCGAGGGACGCCAACGCGCTGCGCATGCCCAAGGCTATCGAAATGAAAACCTCCAAACCCGTCGTCCAGCTCAAGGCTGCGAAAGACAAGGAACCGCCGCCACAGCCGCCTGCAAGCGTTGAGGAGCCTCCAGCCAGTGATCGTCCAAATGGAGCCGTGTACCAGGTCGGCAAGATGCTCGGCAAGGGCGGCTTTGCCGTGTGCTACACGGGATATCACCTACCGGACCGCAAAAAGTACGCGCTAAAGATTGTGCGGAGCCAGATGCCGTCCAAGATGCAGCAGAAGGTCAGATTTGTCACACTGTAGCGTTGTTCGGCGACGCCCGGTTCTAACATGTTGCGCAGTTCCAAACCGAACTCCAGATTCACTCCAAGATGAATCACAAGAACATTGTACAATTTTTCAGGGCCTTCTCGTTCCACGACTGCATGTATCTGGTTCTCGAGCTTTGCACCAACGGCTCTCTCATGGACATGGTCAAGAAGCGTAAAGGCCTGACCGAGCCCGAGGTCCGTTTCTACTCCGTCCAGGTGGCCGGGGCAATCAAGTATATGCACGGAAAGGGCATCATCCACCGAGATCTGAAAATGGGCAACATCTTTCTCGACCACCGCATGAACGCCAAGGTCGGCGACTTTGGACTTGCTGCTCTGTTGGTTACTGGCCGGGATATGCAGACCATAAGAAGGACCACCCTGTGCGGAACGCCCAACTACATTGCGCCCGAGATTCTCCAAAAGGGAAAGAAGGGACACGATCATGCGGTCGATATTTGGAGCTTGGGTATCATCATGTCAGTATACCCCGACCAAAGCCGAGAGCTCTCCCACTGACTGAAGTAGGTTCGCCATGTTGACATCCAAGCCACCATTCCAATCGACGAGCACCGAGGAGATTTATCGCCGAGCGAGGGAACGAGACTACGAATGGCCGAACCCGGAAACCTCGCAAAAGTACATCAGCGAGGAAGCTAAGGACTGCGTTGCCACGATGCTCGAGGACGCAGATATGAGACCCGAACCGGACGTCATTGTTCAACACCCCTTCTTCACCTGCGGTTACATGCCCGTGGAGGCCGACATGACAACCAGACTCCTGACGCTGCCACCCGACCGCTCCGAATTCTACGCCGACCGCATGAGCTCTCAGCTGCAGGCGGTCAGTAAGAAGAACATGGAGGACATGTGCAGAGAATGTGGAGTTGGCCCCCTGGCACCGGTTCAGGTTATTCATACGCAGACATGGAAAGAGATGGCTGCGGAGGAGAAGTCTGGCTTGACGCCCATGATTCCATTGGGAGAGGACGTCGTCTACAGACCTTTCGACGACTGGCTCCGCGAGAAGCGCCACGCTCGTGCCCTTGCCGCCTCGTCGTCTACCCGCTCCGATGCCACGTCGGAATCGCATCTGAGCGGTTCCCAAACAGCGCCGACAGGCCTGTTTCGTCAACCGCCCCAAAGCTTTGCCGCGCAGCAGAGGGCTCAAAACCGCCCCCCTGCGGTGGCCAGCACGGTCAGATCACGACCGCAGCCAGAAGTGGCTCCTCAACCAGCGGAAGTGGCACGCCCGAGGTCAGTCAGACAGTTTAGTGCACCGGAGTCTCGAAACCAGCTTTCCGAGCCTCCACTGAGGAAGTCTACCGCGGTCCGGAGGACGCCACTTCCAACGACGCAGTCGACGGGATCTCTTCCCAGCCATGCCATGGCGCCGCAGAGTTCCAACCAACCCACAGTCACCATGACCGGTCTCCTGGAAAACCTCAAGATCTCATCCGATCAAACTGAGAAGGCGTCTCTCTTCAGCCCGACTGAGTGCCCGGAAACGGTAGCAGGCTCTAAGCCTGATGTTGTGCTCGAGCGACTTCGTCGCCTTCAGGCCGAGCTGGAGCGTGCTCTGAATGCTCGCACCATGGCCATCATCTCGTCCAAGGACACCACCCCGCCTCATCCCAACGTGGTTGTCAAATGGGTGGACTACACAAACAAGTTTGGTCTTGGCTACATCCTGAACGACGGCGGTGTTGGTTGCATCTTGCGAGATATCCCTACTACGGAAGGGAGCAAGACTCTAACGTTGCCGTCAGCCTGCATGCTCGTCCGCGATGCTGAGCGCCATATCGAGCGACGACACGACGAATCGTATCCCGAGAGGCATCAGCCATTGCCGCCCAAGCAAGACATTCACTTTTACGAGAACAACGGCGAGACCGGTCTCGCCCGAGTCTCTGTTTCCTCGTCGCAATTCCGCGTGCCAGTTTACGAGGATGGAACGCCCGGGAAGCTGAACCCGGGAAAGGACGTATACGAGCACAGAAAGAGGGAGCGCGTCATCCTCTGGAAGAAATTCGCCAACTACATGATCGCCTACGGCAGAGACGAGCCACTTCCGGCCGAGGAGACCGTCACTCGTCCGATGGAGTTCTCTGGCAACAACTCTCAGCCTTCGGATCTGGTCATCTTCTACCAGCGCTTCGGCGATGTCGGTTGCTGGGTCTTTGGTGACGGGCATCTTCAAGTAAGCTCCAATACTACAACTTCGACGTGACAAGCGCTGACAACATTCCAGTTCAACTTCCCTGACCACACCAAGATTGTTTTGAATGCTGCAGGAACTTGGTGTCACTTCTGGCACCTTCCCATCGAGGCTGCCCAAAACCTTGCCACCACTGGAAGCATCGGAGCTGCGGCCCTTGACGAGAGGGCCATGCTGTCCTACCCCCTGCAGACGCTATTGAACTTCCAAACGAAGCCCTCGGCGGCTCGCTCTACTCGCACGACCACCACTTCGCGCCGACGCCCCGAGATCCCTGCAGACCTGCAGGGGATCCCAACTGCGAATGATTTCCGCCGAAAGATCGAGTTCATCAAGAACGCAGTAAAGGAATGGGTGACCAATGGCGGCCTTGGTAACAGTGCTATGGACCGTGACCACAGACTGCGCTGGGGAGGTTACCGCGAGACCGTCATGGGCAACAGCTTTATCAAGGGTGTCTGGGTGACTGTCGGCGCTCGATGGGGTGACAGCAGACTGTCGGCTTACATTGATCCAGCCAACCCCATGGAAATGGGCGAAGAGATTGACGAGTCCAAGCGAAGACGTCACTGAGTCGGATTGCACCTCTGGATTTGACAGACCCAAGGAGTTATTAGTCGGGAGCGAGAGGGGACTCTGCATTGTTACGCATATGATGGGTAATTATAGTTCAGCCAGCCCGGTTCGCCCGGCTGGCGCTCACGAGATCACGCCATGGTCGCCACAACGGGGGGATGGCTTTTGGGTTGGGCATGCTTGGAGTTTTGGGGTCTTTGCGGAACATAGCAACGGCGTCTTGGGAGCATAACAAAGTTTCATGAGTTCCAGACTAGAGCTGTTGAGCGTCTCGCTTGGGAATGATGTGACAGGACCTTTCCGTGTTTTCCTCTGTTCGACTTGCGTTACCTCGGGTCTTGTCTATATTCCGCTCTGCACTACCAGGCATATTTTCCGACGTCCCTACGTAATAAACCTCCCGCTGTTACTGTCTTCGCCCAAGTGGATCACGTGGGTGCTGGTGGGCGGAGATCTGTCAATGGCGGGAATAGACACTTGTTTCAATAAACATAACGGTCGTTTACGGTGTTCCTTGGGTCAGTATTATGCCTGTATATTCCCTCGATTACGCTGTACCGGAGCAACATACTGCACTCCTCAACCCCGGCTTTTTCATGGTCCAGCATACAGCTTGTTGTCTGTGGAAGTTGCTGCGGAGAAATCCGTACTGCCATAATACGGTCTGGATACACAGAGTTCTTTGAAATACCGCTCTCAGTTTCTGTTTTGGTGCGTCGCTGTTGCCTCACTTGGATGGTTCTAACGGACACATGGATCGATCATGACAAGGTTGTCCCATTCACTCAAAAGCCAGTTCTGACGTCGGCGAGTTGGAGCGTCGGTTCAATCCTCACCTCTACGTACCGGGAGGCTGCGATCCATATCCCGCGGTCAATGTCAATGGCAACCTTGGGTAAGTAGGCGCAACCGCAACACCCCCAGCCAACTCCTATGCACCCTTACGGTCTTCAAATGACACCAGTAGCTTACTACACTCAAAATAGTGAGGTTTGAAACCTACCGGTGGTGGAAGAAGCGGTTGTGATAATGGTGGCACCGGCCAGGTCTACGTGCGCAGCGGACAGAGTACTCAAGGCCGCCAGGCGGTCCTTTACGTCGTCATCTATGGGCATCGACATGCCTACACAGCCCAAATTATAGTTACACGATAGGGCCACCCCCCCTTTCGTTGGGGCTGACGGCGACCTCGTCTTCCAGAGTACTCTTATCAGCTGGGATGTTCTTTCCGATGCGGCGAAACAAGTCTTGATAAATGTTCAGTACGAGAAGACCCAAGTACCATTCATCGATGCCAACTTTCAGAACGCTCTGGACGCTGCGTAAAAGGCCGGCATCTATGGTGTCCTGCCGGACGCGCCTGACTGTGTCGTATAGGGGGATCTCTCGACTGACATTCCGCAAGACCCGTCTTCCCCTTGAGGCTTACGTTGACCCAGCGAAGTATATTTGTGTCGTCTAAAAGTATCTTGTATGAAAGTAATATAATACAAATGCCCAAAGACTGTGTTGACTGTCACAATCGGGTTATGATAACTATCTGCACTATAATGTGTGAGACTGGTGACATGAGCCCTGCCTCATTACTTCTTGTCCTGCATCATAAAGTTGCACCGGCTCGTGACTCCTGGCTTGGTTGTGATACAGAACCCTAATCACTAGCCCTCCTGCCAGCCGTTCCGGATCCGACAGGAAGGACGGGCTAATGGGCGACATAGCCTTATGGCGCGGCGTAATGGCGTGGCTAAAGAGGTAGCAAAGCAGTGCAGCAAACGCAATCAAAGTAAGAGACAAGTAAAGGCAGGAGCAAAGATTGGTTAAGCCGGTACACTTGTAGCAGATTTTACTGTTGATAACCGAGGACGAAAGGCTAGCAAGATACCCTCCTACACCACTTTCACCCACACATCGCCCACGGCTGGGTTGCCCTCCTCCGCCTTCCAGCTTCAGCAATACCGTAAGTTTCACCATATATCGTAACCGTTACGATCGCGAGATTAAGCCAACACCATTGACCTAGTGACTAACGCTTACCTTGGAGAGAGGGCCTTTGTGAGGTCGGCTATGTACCCCATACGCACATGTATACGCAATCGCTGGAGGACCTCTTGCCACTCACTTGGATTGCCAACAGATGGTGTTCGCCTCCTAAGAAGACCCACTTTCGCAAGTTCCCGGCTCAAGACTCGCTCGTCCGGCTCTTCGGCTTCCATAGAGCGATACATCACCACGGCTTCAAAAACGACAAAAATGATAAGGAGCTATGCTTCAGCAGCTCTCGTTGTGTGACCCTGACCCGATTTGAACGGATAACCTTTCGATCTGGAGTCGAACGCGCTACCGTTGCGCCACAAGGCCCATTGAGCGAGATTGGAGGCCCGCATCCGAGGATGGGGAGGTGGATGCTGGGATAAGCATTACACCAACTTATGTCCTATTGAAGGGTCCCTCTGCGAGGTTGCGGGGACATAAAATGTCTTGTTCGGGCAAAGCGACGATGCGCAGCGATGGAGACTCGAGGGATAAGGGATGTTGCGGAGTGGGGGCTGAGCTTCAGTCTAGACAACTCCGCACCCGACAGAATGGGTCACAGGGACTCGGCTTGCTTACTCTTGGGTTTCTGGAAAGCTGAATCGCAGCGTTGCGTTAAGTATCTTCTTGAAATGTCTGATATATGCTGCATGACGCTACAGGTGAACGAGAATAGCTGTGAGAGCAGACTAAGCAACAATGCCCCAAAAGCTGCTTGATCAGTTTTGCACGATGTGCAAACCATGTGGGTGATTGACTCTGCGACCTTTCTATCCAGGAATATTTACGTCTTGTTTAGATAGGCTGCTTTGCATTTTGGTTAACAGGCGGCCGGTGTGTGTGCCGTTCGAGGGTTCCAATCCCCGTCTCACCTCACTGGGCGTGGCAGGCACAACCCCGTATAAGATGGACCAAGCAGCCATGTCACCGGCTCGTGTAAGGTAGGTAGACCACCAGTTTATGGGATTATGCTCCCCTGCTTGGAAGTTGTTGCGTTGTCTTTAATCAGTGTCTTGTCGTTCGTCATTTTTTACTCGGGCCCGGTTGGAGCGGGCGACTGCCCTCGATGGGGGTGTCCGTGCATAAGCCCAGCCACCAATAGCTTTATAATCGCATTGACTTCTGACTCTTCCAACCAACTATCACTGGATGCAAACATCCACATATCCCCGATAGTCTAGTGGTGAGGATATCTGCTTGTCACTGCAATAGCAGCAACTCGCAGGGGACCGGGGTTCAATTCCCCGTCGAGGAGATGTTTTGCATCATTCAACTCATGATGAATGGCCATTTTTTAGCTTTTTTATTCCTGTTACTAATGCAATGTGCCCGGGACGCTGTTGTGCTTAGGGAGTGGTTTGTGCTTTATGTATCCTGCAGGGCTCTTCTGGCTACTTTGTTTTCAATTAAATAGCACAAGTGACTATCATCTGAAATGTTCAAGACTACCGGTAGGGCTTGTTCGAGTACTGCCTCTTCGTCGTTTCGATACTAGTGCTCAGGGGGGTTAGAGGCTTAGGTCTTTAACCTCTAGAGGATTGTGGTTCTGATGAGAGACCTCGGCAAGTTTTCGTTGTATCCAGTATGCTGTGTACCTCCAGCAACCCCGCCGATGTTGGAAGCCAGTCGCCTTCGCCAACATATTCACGCGCCTTCACAATCTGATGAAGCTCTGCTACGAGCCTTGGAAATACTGAGGCGGCGTGGAGCCACAGCCGGATAAACAGACACAGACGCCCAGAAATTGATAGAGTCGCTTTCTCAGATGAAGCCATCAAGGCCAACAATCTTCGAAAGCTTCAACCAGGCATATCTGGGAATCTCTTTCAGCGCATGCGCCACCGGGGCCTCGAACCCTGTCGTTAGCTGCACACTTGCGAGAGTCAGTCTACAACTCGCGACTGTGTCGGCCTCTTTCATGACTGACACGAGCCACTTCCTCGAAGCGTGGGAGGGTTCGGTGATCGGCCATGATCACGGTCGGGGGGATGTAAGGGCTTGCTCTGGAGGCCACAGAGAGGATGAACTCCGAGCCGAGTTTCCCAAAGAACAACAAGACTGACAATATGAGCAGGGTCATGGACGAGGCCGGAGTCCACCAAAAGCACACCACGTCCTATCCCGCAAATATCAACAAGGTTGCCACAGACCTCCACCACCATGTAAATCTCGATGCTATGTACGGCACGCGGAAATATCTGTTGCTTTTGCCTCAGTGATCATGCTGAGCAAGTTATGCAGAAACAAAGGTTCCGATTCGAGATGCCGATTGCAGCGAACACCGACGACAACCTGTTGTTTCACGAACCGCTCGCTTGATATGCTATGGACCAAGAAACCGCCAACATCAACACGAACAGGCGTTCTTAATGCATTCATTCCGTAGCGGTATACATCTGTAAAAGGACATATGCACATTGAATCAAGGAAAGAAGACAAACCCCGCGTCCCCTCCGCAGATGATGCACGCCCTTGAACCTCTACAAGCCCAGACGTGATGGTGCCCCTTACGCCCGCCCTCGTGATCACCTAATATCTCAGCTAGCCTTGACTGGTTATTAGACTCGCGAGTCAAACCTCGGTGCCGAAATGAACCCGTGTGTGTCCCCAGAGCATCTCCGTTGACAGTATACTATGCATAGAGGCAGAGCTCGAGAGAGTGCAAGAGTCACAAAGAGTGGGGCTTGAAGATATCGTCAGATGATAACTTCCAAGGGGGCATATAAGAGTCCACTGCCGTCCTGGGGCCATGGGCCAGCGCTGTGTACCCACGGCCAAGCCCGACGGGTTTCCAGCATTTCATAGTTGTCAGTGCTCTCCAGAGGTCATCGAGCACCAGGCCAACAGGCTCTCGGTTCTCACAAATATGGGAGATGTCTCGCGATCCGAGGTCGTCATCCGAAGCCTCTGGCAGACGCGACCCCCCCCCCGCGGCTGGATAACCAAAAGCCGGACTTTACAAACTCGACCCATGTTCTTGCAAAGCATACATCCATCCCGGACGCACTCTCGCACGGGAGGGGACAAGGGCACGTGGAGAAGACGACCACGCACACCGAGTGCAGCGTGCCCAGCAGATTCTAGGCCCCTCGGATTTGCCACTGCTGACTTGACTCTATGCTAAAATAATTACCCCTAGCACTTACAACTCGTGCACACGATGGCTAGCCTTTCGCGGGAGGGCCTCCGGACGACCCGGCCTCTGCTGGCGTCGACTGTCTAAGATGCCCCGGTCGGAGATTTAGGCGTTCATCCTACATGTAAGAGAGAACCCCCCACTCTCGTGAGGATTGCCGTCTGTTTGGATGGCCTCGATGGACGTCCCGCCAAAGTGACAGAGCACACGACAAGAGAAGGAGAGGGAGGTGATAACGACCCGCAAACAATGCCGTTTCCAACGGCCCTGGCCCGTTTCCCAACTCGAAAAGAAAAAGAAAAAAAAAAGCCTCTCTCAGATCCCGACGACATGGTTCCCGAGATGTGGGGGGGAGTGGATGGCATGCAGTTTGCAACGTTTCTGATGAGAAGATTTATTTGACCGCAAGCGGAAGGCGTGTTTCTACACCGCAGCACGACAAAGATCCCGTACCTGCTCTGATCTTTGCCAAAACTCTGGCTCCCTCCCCCCCTTCCCACAGTGTCCGGTGGGTTTGCAGCCGGCAAATGTTTCCAAGACAGTAGCGTCCCATTCCGCCATTCCATGGACGCAATGGTTCGGTGCTCAAAACTGAGAAGTGATAGCGTACCCCTGACCCGCGGGCCAGGGTAAAAGAGCAGCAGAACTGATACCTAGTGTTCAAAACCAGCGGGTTAGCATTCTGTAAAGGTGGGCTTGCCCACTTCCCCCCCTCGAAAACGGGGCCGCGCCAGCCTGCCCACCATGCCGCTTGTCTGGCTGTCGGAGGAGCCCATCTGCACAACATCCTCGCCCTACTTCTTGCCCCGGATCCGGTCGCTGTCGAACGCTCCCTCTTGATCTGTGGCGGCACTGTTCGGTGAACATGTTCCACGGAAGTTGTGGTGTACCGGTTATCTTTGGTGAGGGCGAGGGATCCCGCTACGGCGCATTTCGCCAATGTTATGCTCCAGGAAGGTTGCCTGCGTCGTTTCGGGCTGTTTTTCGCCGGTGATAAATGGCGAGTGAATTGGACTTGCGTACTGCAGCGATGCAGGTGAAAAGCTGAGATCCGGCTGGCCCCTTGTCAACACAAACGGGTCTTGTGTGTTGAAGTCCCCGGCCACATCATGTCGGACATGGTTAGGTTTCCACAAGCTACTCACTAGAGTGGGATAGGCTCGGCCAGGTACCTGTACGCTGATCCACTAATGATGCACCTTATCAGAAATTTCGAGACCGGTTTGCGCCAGGGCAGGCCACGGTTTGGTCTGATCTGGTGCAGTCGAGGGTATGCCGTGACTGTGAGGTGCTTGACATGGACTGAGGATGGGTGACACGTTTGCGTTGGAGGGTTGGGAATAGTCATGAGCAGGCTCTTCGAGGCACTGGAGCATTTTGGCGGCGCTGTTGCGTATGCGCAAGAGAGGGCGGGAGGGTAATGTCGAGATCGAGAACTTTTCGAGCCCTTACAAAATACGGTGCTTCAGAGTCAGGTGCTAGTCCTGAACGGCACAAGCTTGCCGCTGTGCCAAGTCCACTTTCGCCTCATCCTAGCTGACAGGGTCGTTGTCGAAGAAACCTGTCGGAGAGGAGCCTGCGTTCGGGAGGTCCACGGCAAGCAAGATGCGGGATGAAAACCAAGGTACTATATATCCAGGCGGTCCGCTCTTCAAGGTCGCGCAGGTACACAATGATTGTGACACAGTCGGAAAAACACAGCATAAGTACTATGCCCAATATGCGGGATGGCAACGAGGGAAACAGAAAGTGGGTTTAAAGGTGGTCTAGTAGCCGGCACGACGCCCTGCAATAATATTTGCATAGAACCTCTGGCTCGGCTTAGTGCCCCGAGAGCAGATGATCGGCTCAGAGGAGGGTACTGAATGCCATAGCGGCAACCCGAGGCGGCGGCAATTGCCCAGATAGAGAGCGTGTAGGCCAAGTGCCACCCTGCATGGCTCCTCTGCGTCTCGTCGCCCGCATGGGAACGCGGGTCGGCTGTAAGGTGTAAGTCGTGCGAGCGCGGAAGTGCGCGAGTGGTTCCGGTGCGCAAAACATATAAAGCGTATGCATCCTGTCCTTCCCGGACGATGGAGCCGGCGATCAGCGAGAAGAAGAACCTTTGCCGCCAGCTCGTGCGAAGAGCTCTTTCGGAGAGAAAACAATCGACCTGCTTAGCCTTAACGAGCCTTGTGTCGTGTTACAAGTCGAGCGCCGCCGTCCGCCTCCGCCGTCCGTTGTCCCTCTCGAAACTTGGCAGCCCCGGTTTCCCCGTCAAAGCAGCCTGGACGGGCCGAGCCGTGAAACGCTATTCGAACGGCTGGACCAAGTCGATAAAACCGTCTCAGCACTGTGCGAGGCTCACGATGAGAGGACATCCGACGAAGACGGGATGCTGCAGAAGCATAGCGAATACCAAGAAGACGGACGCCCGATCTTGCGTCGGGCCGAAGACAAACAACATGGCGCTCAAGTTCTGTGACCACAGGTCGGTTTGCGGTTGCGAAGTACGGATACCAGCGGACAAGAGTCTATGCGACCGATGCGCCCAGGGGTTATGCTGAGAGTCTCGACCTCAAGAGGGAAGAAGGATCGTACGCTTGGGGGAGCAGCTGAATGCGGCCGGTGGTGGCCTGTCGCTCTCTGACCCTCTGTCCGGCATACGACATGAACGCAAGACGCGGTTTCGTTCACCACATCGAGTCGCATGTATGGCCATTTCGGGCGCGATTCTCGACCGCATGGCTGCCGGAGCAAAGGGGCAATTTCGAATCGATTCAGCACGACGGCATGGGACAGACTCTCAGCTGTCGGCTGTCATGCGCGAGGCTCGCGCATCCTGGGACACGACCACAATCGTGATACGTAATGAGGACGGCGGCTCAGCCCCCCACCCTGAGTTTGGTGGTTGAGATTTTTTTCTTTGCATTTCTCATTTTTTCTTTTGTGTGTGCTATGGAAACCGGCTTTGTGTCTCGCATTCGGCGCAATGCGTAGAGCTGAAAAGGGAGAAAAGGAGATTCGAGGCTTGCGCTACTGTACAACGCATAGATTAATCTACACATGGACATCTTTCACGTGCCAATACCAATGGACAAGTGGTACTCCAGCATCAGAGCTGAGCTCGTCGGTCGGAAGGAGTCGATGCGATCGATCTCTGCAGGGATGCGGACTGCCCATGCTTGATTGGCGTACGGCTGTCAGGAACCGAGAAGACGTTAGTGAGCTTCTATCTGCCACGTCACAACGAGGATTGGGCGGCATCGTGATTATGCGAGTGTTATCGTCATCAGTTGACATTAATTTGATAGGAAGCTGGTCGCAGATGAAGGGACTTGGAACCGGCAAGAGAAAGCAACGGGCAGGGTGGAAAGTCGTTGGATGTCTTTGTTCTCGAGACCTAAAAAGCGGCCCGTTCCTTTAGTATAGTAGCCACGTGAGCGAATCAGCGCGCGAGGCTGCCTTTCTGAACCAACCGAACGGGTTCTGAGAGCAGTCGCTCGCCATTGGTCCGCCGTCGGCGAGTACCAACGGCTGACAGTACCATGATCTGGGTTCGACGCAAGTAATGGCATTGTCTGAGCCACATGTATATCTTTTCTTTTGTCGAATGGATGGCAAGGTGCTCAGACAGTCTTGGTTTGGAATGCGATTGACACCGGGGGTGGTGGGATTGGTGTGATCTAGCCATGCCAGCTGATCACATAGTTCGTGATGCGCGTTTTGGTACGTCGAGAAGACTACGGCCAGACCAACAGGTGAGCTGGAACGGGCATATCAACAATACGGCAATTCTGCGAAGCACTGGCATGTTGCATCATATTTGGAAATGGAGACTTGCGAATCGAGCAGATTCCCACACCCGGTGATCTGGATCACTGGCGGCCAGTCAGCTGCATCACTCACGAAACCATTGCGTGCCAGTGCCGCCAAAGGACATGAATAATGAAGTCATCTCGGGG